ACAGTACCTATCATAGAAAGTATGAACACGAAGTTGTCTAACTTTCAGTTCCATGATAAACCGCTGTGATGCTTTCAGTTTTAAATTATCTTTTGTTTTCAAATATATTTGGTTCAATTGTATTTGACGTACATACCATTCAACTTAATATTTTACTTTCATTTATAGTTTTCAAGTATAATACGGTCTTACTCTTTTCTTGGGTGCTCAACCCAGTTTACATTTATTTCTCGCCGTGCACATTTTTATCCCTGTCTGAGTGTGTGGCAGTCGTCTGTGTGTGAGTTGTTTTTGGGGTTTTGTTTCGGGACTCATTGACGTGCAACATATATGGTGAGGGGGCGTGGCCGGTCTGCGGCTACTGGGATTGGTTTTGTTTGCGCCGCAAAGTATGCAACGGCTGCTGGTTGCAAGTGCCCCTGGGAAAGGGGTCGTGCAAAGGCTTAGAAGGGGGTGTTCAGGGGGCTAAAGGGCTCCATGGGTTGGGGAATGAAATTTGGCTTGGCTGCCTTATTTCGGTTAAAAGTTTAGCCCGATCCAGAACTGGCCACAAGTGGAAAACGCATTAAAACTGCAAATTAACTGGAGAATAGAGCTGATGATGATCTAGAAACCCCGACGCCTAATTAGGGAAAGAGGTTCCGCCCTTCGAGTTGCATTCGCAGAGCCCAGCTCTGAGGTCTGTTAATTATTTATGCTTTACATTTAAATGCACAGCTTAGACTAAAACACACACTCGAAAACTGGGCGTGTTTCCACGGCCTTTGAGCCGCTCCGTTTTCAAGTGGAAAGTGGAGGAGAAAGCAGGCAGCTGCTGGGGCAACACTTCCGCATCGGGAAAATGGGAAAAGAAAGCATAAAGCATACAGACAACTCCTCCACACACTCGCACACTGAGAAAGCCAGATAGGCTGGCATATTGTGCCTACGCATACATTTGCACAGACAAGCACAGACCCAAAGAGCATCCTACATCCTGCGTCCTTACATCCTGCATCCTAAATCCAAAGTGGAACGGAGTCGAGTCCCCAGACCGACTGAACTCCATGTAACATGTTAATGAACTGCGCCAACTGTGTTTGCACAGAACTTAGTGTAATGTAATCCAGGCTGGGCACAGAACCAAGCTGGGAGCCCTAACATGCACTGCGGGAAAAGGGGGACCAGTCATCGATAAAGATTCGAGGGGTCTGAGGCTATAAATACGATATCTTGTATGACAGTCACAAATCTCTCATAAAATTTTTATAACTTAAACAATCTCCAAAAAGTGCCTAAAAATATGCTATGATTACATTGGGCTTTCAAACACTATTATGGGGTTTTAAATTCTCTTAAGATTTCTGTTTCGTTCCATAATGGTTATTCTTATTTAATATTTGAAATTTTTAACAAACCACTCAATATATTCTTCTGTAACCCATTGTATTGTATTAAGCTAGAAGATTACTTGGAATGTAAAATCTAGCAAGGCTTACCTTGTAAGATTTAACCACTGAAACGTAGGCCCCAGCTCTTCAGCTTCCTTGTTTTTGACCTCAGTGTACGTATGAGTGTACCCACGCACACCCCCACACACACTGGGACCCACTCACACCTCAACGCCCGATGTGTCGAATGTTACGCTAAGGAGTAACTTTGACATTTACCATTCAAGGCTTATGAGTGCCACCGCAGTGGAGGGGGGTTCGGGATCCCAAAAAGGGGGCAGCATATCATGTAACCCGCCCGGGCAATTGCCTTATGGTTATTTTCATAGCCCTGGCCTGGCCACAAAACTGCGAGCCAAGTGTGACACCGACATGGACAGGGAAATGGAGAAAGGGGAAAGGGAAAGCGGGCGAAGGACCAGGAAACTTGAATGGAGGCTGGGTGGACTGAGTGGGTGGCAAAAGGACGAAAAACGAAGGACGCAGCCTGTGTGAAGAAAAAAATGCGAGTTTGCAACGGCGACAATCCAGCTGGGATTTTCTCATTTTCTTCTTCTTGGCGTAGAGGTTTTCCTGTTGGTACTTTTGTTGTGATAGGAAAGGACACGTAAGTGCAAAGGCCTTACATAGAGGACATCATCAGGTGGAAAATTAAATTGCATTTAAGGCAATTGACAGAAGAAGACGACAGTTGGGCCACATGTGGTGATGAACACCTTTGGAAGGGATCGGAAAGTGCCTTGGTAAATTATTGGACGCAAATTCAGCAAAACGATGTGCTCACTTTGCAATTTTGAATAGATTCTATTGATTGAGGGAGCAATATTAAACTGAGGGGGTATACACTGTGTTAAAATGTAAATTTTATGTGTGACTACCTAGTTGGAATTTTTTTTAAATTTAAAATTTCACTTTTATAGATCGATAATAAACTTTGTGTATATGAGAAATAAGCTTAATGATATATCTCTAATCGTTATTTGAATGTTCCCAAACTAAAATAATATAATATTCCCTATCTATACTTTAATATTATTTTATAAAATTAAAGGATCCACCACTGATTTCTATTTACCGGAACCCTTGAAAGGAAGATCCGATTTAATTAAAAATGCATAATCTGAGAACCCTTAAGCATCGATTAGACGCTTTTCCGTAATAAAGTGGACTCAAGGAGCTATCAGCTCTACTTTCCTTTCTTTTTTCCATGTGCAAATCAGGTGCAGTGCTTGAACGTCATAATTATTCATATTGTTGGCCGAAAGTCAGATAACAGTGGGCCAGAGGAGGAGCAGGGGGAGGCAGGTCCTGGCCACTTGCACTTGCTGCAGTGTCATATTAATTTAGTCAAGTGGCCACTTAAATTTTGCCACGACTACAACTACGGCAGAGCGAGATGGCTGTAGTGAGGAAAAGAGAGATGGCGATAGAATGGGCGAAAGAGAGGGAGCGAGCGGAGGGATTGGGAGGACGTTAAATGTGCAAATGGCAATGCCAGGCTGTCCTGTCTGCCATCTCTTTCTTCTCCCTTATCTCCATCGCCCCCTCTCTTTCCGCCCTCCTCCTGCCGTCTCTTTCTCTTTTTGAGGTTTGAGTGTCTGTGTGAGATTTGCATAAGTGCATGGGTATTAGCCTGGGTAGAATGTCACTGACTTTTGTCAGCCGCCTGTCAAATGGGCGCCCAAAAGTGTGCAAAGCGAAAGCGGTGAAAGTAGTAGTAGCAGAATATACAGAATATAGAAAGTGGAAAGGGAGGGGGCGAAGGAAGGAGACAGCCGCAGCGAGAATGCCTAATGATTACAAATTGCCAGTGGCAATTTTAATAACCGCCACGACCGCAGAGCAATAAATAAAATTCACAATAAACACATTGCAACAAAGGAAAATCTAGAAGCCGAAAGCGGCTTTAATGCATAGCTGCGATTAATATTAATTTCATGCGGTGCAGCGCACAGTCGGAGGCCATCTATCCCAACATCCATCCATCTGGCGAAGTCAAGCCGAGGCGGCTTTAAATGTGGCATAAAGGCCGGGGAAATGCAGTCCTGCAGATGAAGATGCAGACGCTGATGAAGTGAAGTTGATGGGCTCGAGAAGGGGCGGGCGAAGTGGGGGGGGGGGGGGGGGGCGACGAGGACAATGCCGCCACATCATGCGCATCATTAGCCGAGATGCGGAGCCAACTCTGAGTAAAACCACTCTACACGCAGAGAAACACAACTAGAAAGATTCTACTAAGAAATCAAGCTACTTGTATACCAAAAAACAGGATGAGTAAAATTCGAAAGGTATTCACCCTGAAAAGTAATTGGGGAACTCAAGAAATTGACATTTAATGCCTATAAATACGGCTTGTAAGCTTTTCAAAAGTTCATAAAAGTAGGCACTACAAAATAAAGTACTGCACTTCTATTGAAATTGCGTATCTAAAATACTCTGTTACATGCTTAATAAGGGATTACAAATATTTAATAATAATTCTACATTAGTAGTAGTACAGTATTTTATCTGCACTTGTAAGGACATCCAACTTTTCCCCAGTGCATTCACATTCACTGCAGGCTGTTTCGCCTTACCCCCTCGCATTTTCCAGCTCATTTCGGCTGCAAGATATTTTCCTTGTTCAGTTTGTGCTTCGGCAGCAAATTCAGCCCCGAATCGCTGCTCCGCTCGATGCCAGATAACCAGATTCTAATTGGTATCCATAACTGTGGGCCGCAACCCCCAAAATTTGATATACTCAAGAGCTCTCGACTTGCTCGCTGCCGCAGAACACCACTCACCAAAACACACTCGGCTCGCACGGCTTTCCCCATTTGCATATTCATTTTCCACATAATCATCATCAGCATCGTCAGGCCCGTGTGTGATCCGCACTGATGGAAAACTATCAAATTCATGGAGTAATTAACAAAGCTGCGAAGGGGGAAATGGAAAGTGGAAAATGAGGAGGGTTCGCCAGCATTTGGGCGCCTAAAAATAGAATTTAATTTGACTTTTGCCAGTTGGCAGCCATACACCTGTGGGAAAAAGGACTGGGATTGAAAGCCAAGACCCCCTCTGATGTGCTGACAGCATTAATTTAAATGCGGCTGTGTGATTTTGCCGCTTGGCATGCCAGCCAGTTGCTTAAAGCCGGGAGTAAACATTGCAAATTAATTCGGTAAAAGCCCCAGACCAGGGTGTAAAACTCCCCCGGCCAAAATGCAGCGTTGAACTGGATACTATTTGGAAAAAGCAATTTTTAAGGTGTTTACTAATTTTTTCCCCCAATTTATGTTTAGCAACTATTTTTTCCCCAACTTAAAACCTTCTGCCGATAAGTCCACTCTTTTCATAGCTTATAAACTCAAAAAGTGTTGTTTATAATAAAGAGAAACACTTTGGCTGAAAGCAAAAATTTAAAGCTGGTGTGCTAATGGAATCTGGTGATTAGTACTAAGAATATACAGTCCCCTTTGAAAGCGGACTCCCGTTAAAAAACCTGCAGTGTGCAGTAGTCTGCAGTGCTAAGCCGACTCCATTCCCGCACTTCTGACTCATTTCCCTCGCTTTTTTCTTTTTTTGCAGCTCTCCGGTGCTCGGCAAACGACAAAACTAATTTATGGCATTAAAAATGCATATTTTCTAGCAGTGCGTCGCCAGTTTTTATCATTTGCCAGAAAGGCAAAAGGCGCAATCCACCAGCAGCTGTGCCAGAAAAATACGGAGAGAAGCTAAGAAGACACGTCGGTGGAGAATTGGATTTGGCTGCGAAGGATTTCGAGTCCGAGTCCGAGTCGGAAAGTTCTTTAGTCAGCAGCCGAAGGAGCGCAGGATAATTCACATTTTTTCCACGGGACTGGCAACGAAATGGCTTTCCTATGTGCACCGGTAAGTTTCACTTTATTTGGCTCTCACTTTTCCCTCCTTTTTATCCGAAATCCCCCATACATCATGTCTCGATACTGCAGTAAAATTACAAGGAAATGGTTTGCACTTATGGCGAACATCATTCTTAACGCGCCACACGCTGCGTATGCGTGATATTTTATCCATTAAACTTTTCCGCGCTCTCGTCACTCTTCGTTGGCAAGTGATTTTAATAATGTGAAAAATGTCAGATCGTTATGCTTAAACTGCCGCGTGAAGCACGATATGGTCCCAAACTCTTGCATTGATGGATTGCAGGCGGTGAAATTAATCATACGCCGTGTGTGCTGCAACAGTTATGCCTCTTTAAGTGCGCCGTATACTGGTGTACTGATGCCAAGGGGTGGATGCTCCAGAGGGGCATCTGAACTTCGGGGATGTTGACAAATAAACACATGCCATAATACGTGCAAACTCTGGTCGAGAATAACGAAAACAACAGCTACGGCTGGATAGATAGAAGCCGAAAATGGAGAGTTTGCCTTGTATTAACAGCTGCCCGCACAGTCAATACTCCCCGTAGATTTCGAGAATCCCAGGGATGCGGGAAGCGTCGATTTGGGGGAGCAACAAGCAATGACAATGGCGGCTCGGCATCGCATCCGCATCCCAAAAGCCAACAGCCAAGACAAGCTGGAGGCGGAGGCCCATCTGGCGAGCTCTGGGACAGTGGAAAACACCAAGCGATTGGAAGAAAATAGATTCTAACTTTACTTAGCATTTTATTGAAAACCATTATCGATTGTCACTGTGCTTAATGAAGTTTTTCAGGTTCCCTTGATTAACATTTCTATGCCTAAGAAATCCTTTAATACATATTTGCCCAAAAGCAGGCAATGTTTTGACTAATTTCCAGTTCACTTTTTTGCAATGCCGGAAAGCAGGCAATGTTTTTGTCAATTTGCTGGCTTACTTTTATTTGCAAGCCTAAAAAAAGGCAATGTTTTGTCGAACTTCTGGCTAACTTTTTATTTGCAAGCCTAAAAGTAAGCAATGCTTTCAACAAATCCACATGATAACCTCTGGAACATTTGAAAATATATGTCAATTCTGGATCATTATAGTCTACACTTTTATCTACAAGAACAGAAAAAGGTGTGGATGCTGGCAAAAGAAAATACTCCGAAATGTCAAAGTAGCAATCCTCTGTGATCTTTCAAAAACTGACAATCCATGGGTATTTTTCCGATATGCTCCACTGTTCTCTGCCGAATCCTGGCCCTCTCTATCCCTTTTTGCCACTGCCGTCGACTGCCGGCTGTTGTGAGTGCTGATTGTCAAGTGCTCGACCCAGACACGTGCTTACACAGCTATCCACAGCCATCCTGCAGCTGCCACGCCCCTCCAACCCATTCCGCCGCCCCTCTCAATATTTGTTGAATTTCGAGTTAAGCAAACGTGCAAGTGTATTTAATTTGTGATATCATCGAGGGGCAGGATGCTGGGGATTGGAAAGAGGGTAGTGGGAAGTGGGCAGCAGTGAGGTCACTCGGCTTACCCGATCCTTGGGCAAGGGTTTTGGTTTCCCCGTATGTGTGTGGCCATTAATGCAGCATTTAAGGATTTTGCGGTCTGAGCTGCATGCACTTCAATCGGAGGAGAGGCGAAACAATGCCACATTCAAGTGCATTTGAGCAGCAATAATTTTTGCGGTGAGCAAAGACAAAAGCCTATTAATGAACACACAGCAGCAACAACTACGTCTCGAATATCCTGCATTCTATCTGTGGTCGCAGGTGTGCGAGTGCTTGTGTGTGTTTGTATTTGTGTTTGTGAGGGCTTTATTTCATTTAATCAATCATGCATTTAGTGGACAAATCGTTTAAGACAAAAGCCCCCCAAGAAGCCGAGTTAAAAGGCTTTTCATCATTCAATTCGTACACGATTATGTCTCTGAATAGAAGGACTATCCCTCCATACATCAAGGGAAGTGTGCATGGGTGGGCGGAGCCCTTTTCAGTTTGTGCGTATAGTTAATTGAATTTTAAATTACGCCCCTCTTGAAAAATGATTAGCAGCCCCTCATGCATAAGTAAGTTTTCAATTCGGTTCGCTAATTTGATTTGCCGTCGAGAGCTGACAAAGGGTATCAATTATCGTGGCCAGCCTAGAATTATGTGCCGCAAGGATGGCATAATGCCCGATTACTCCCAGGGGGCGGGACAGGAGCCGAGTGCCCGGTTGGAGGCCACTTGTCACAACTGCCAGAACAGGCCAGTCCATGTACTTGGACTGCAGGCAACTTTTTGTCAATGGCCGGGCCTCAAAATTGGTGCACAATGGGAAAAGTGGGGAAACGCGAGCTACTTTCGGTACCGGATGACCCTGCAGAAATATTGAAGCCTCAAGGATCAATACGTAAAATATATAAAATATTTAGTTAGTACAGTTTTGTTAAATATATATGGAAATTATACATAGCATTTACAAAGTTCTTAATGTGATGCATACTCTTAGACAGCAATGTAAGTGGTTTACAAACACTAGTGACTTATTTGTATGGTTTTTAAACTCCAACGAAAATCAGGGACCATAACATGGATAGTTTTATGCATCCGTTTCTAAGACACGTTGAATCTCGAAGCTCCCTTGTGGGATCATGGCTAATAACTTTTGCCATTTTGACTTTATCGGCTCCCATCTTGATTGGCTATAAAGTTTGGACTCGTATATGCGGCATACGAAATTTGTGATATTTTTCTGTGTGTGTAGAGGGAGCCTTGCACTCACATGAATAACTGCTCAATGCCCGAGCACACACACTCGCCTGGCTGACTGCTTGCGTCATCAGCATCGTCAGTGGAGTATCAGCCTTGGCATGCAGTCAAAACGCAGCTTCTGCCCCTGATTCGCCCCGATTCACCCCCTCCATATTTCTCTGGGCCTTTCTCCGCAACTATTTTTCTATGTCAGGGGACGAAGAAGACACAGGACGCAGGACGCAGGACGTGGATGCAACTGCCCCAGACTGCGACGGAGGCCATTGGATGTCATCAACTTTGCTTTGGCTCTGCCGAGAGCCTCCGCAAAGGCAGGGCAAACAAAAAGCTTAACCTCAGCACAAATTTAAGCAAATATTTGCCAGGCCTCCACCTTTCCCCCTCATTTCCTTTCCCCCTGGAGGCGACTCCTGCCCCTGCTCCTTTTCCATTGATGCAATTGAAGCCGGAAGCAGTTTATTTTTATTTTGCCTCTTTTTGCGGTGTCAGCAAAGAGTTTAACATTAAGCAGGTGCAAGGGGGCCACAGAGAAAGAAATCAACGATGGTTGTCTGGTGTCATAAGAACTCTGTTTACAACTATGCCATCAAATATTTTGATGACATCGAAGGCATTTAAAGTCACCTTTAAACGTGTCAGAAGGTATGCAATAGTTTTGAATAAGAAAGAAAATATCTTTATAAAAGCATAGTTCTAGCCACCCTTGGAAGAGATTTCAAAATCGTATTTATATCTCCACATTAAGATTTCTAAAATGGGTGTAGATATATTTTCGGGTTCCGGGTGACTTTTTGTTTATAAAGCACTCAATGTGAAATTGGCTTACCTTTGTTTTTGTAGAAAAATAAGTTATGTCAGCACTTGGGTTAATATACACCAAACCAAACTTAAATAACAATTATGTATGCATTTCCCACATTTTTTCACCGTGCCCAAGGGATTCGCTTGATGCACGCACGATTTTAATCGGTTAAATGCCAGGGGAAATGGGAAAATGCAGGCCATATCTTCCCAGCAGTGCCAACTAATGATGCGCAAAATGTTTACAAATCATTTTGTCAATAACGAGGAAGGGCTGAAGGGGCGCTGGATCCAGGAGCCAGGATCCTTCGTCCTTCTCCTCCCGAATCGGGCCCATAATTTGCCCACATTTCTTGCATTCATCCGTTGGATGGAGCGGCCATGAAAAGGTCATTAGTGTGTGCGTGTGTACGCAAGTGAGTCTGTGTGTGTGACACAAATGGCCATTCAATATGCCAAGAAAGGGATGGGGGAGAGGGGTGGAAGGGTGGAAGGGTACAAGGGTTCGGGGGGCAGGACATGAGCTAAAGCCAAAGCCATAACAGCCACATGCTTTTTTCCACAACATTAACGCAAATTGCAAATAATAAAAATTCAAAATACCGAACCGTAGAAAAAGCAGCACGTGTTGCTGTTGTTGTTGTTGTGTGCCAACAACTATAATGTGTGTGTGTGTGTATGGGGGGGGGGGGGTTCAAGTGGGTGGTCCTGAGGAAAAACCACAACAACGAGCAGCCATGGGCACATTTATCGCAGCCAACGAGGCATTTTTTAAGTCCTGCAAAGGTTTACATATGGCCAATGCGAAAAAAATAGATGGCATGGATGGGGAAAAAATGCAAGCACTATGGAAAAACGGAAAATTGTGTTAGGTTTCCCAGGGTAAATTTCCTGCCATTGAGCCTTAATTGATCCTTTGCGGCGAAGTCTTGCAAGAACGGCAGGTTGAACTGAGCACTTGTCTATAAAGACAGTATAATGGAATAATTAGTTGGGAAAAGTCTGTAAATAAATTATTAGACTATAATGACAACGTTTGACTTTTACTTAGAGTTTGACAAGATAGTGGTTGAAAAATATAAAAGGAGTATTACGTTAACTGTGGATAAAGATTATGTAATTATGTTACATTAATAAATATCTTAAAGCAATAAATCTTTAATATATATTAAATAAAAGATGTGTAATTTTCTTGAGAACAGTACTTACAAAAAACAAGGACTATAGAAAAATAAACTTATAACCGGATATACCTCTGCACACCGCAAGATTCCGTAGATTTCTTCCTTTGCCAGCGAATCAGAATGGAAATCTATTTTATGCAGTGGCACGCAGGCTGGCCAAATCCTGCGGATCGCCCGCCCACATATGTGGCTGTGTGGGCGGGGCTTTTGGGAGCCCTGCTCCTGCGGCTTTCCCCAATTCTCTGCTCCTTTTCTCGGGTCCGTGACTGTCGAGGCGTTGGCGTAAATGCTTTGCGTATGCATCCATGCATGCCACGCCATCTCGTGCAGCCTCGTCCTTAGTCCTTCGTCCTTGGTTCTTGGTCCTCTTAGCCGGACCCGGGGATCCGGAGCTGCTGGCATACAATTTATGTGCGAAATATGGCGCCGCACACCTTTTACTTTGCGCTACCTGGCTTTTCTCTGCCGCTTCCTTTGCCTTCAGCTTTTCCTTGTCCTTTTCCCTGCCCTTTTCCGCTCCCGCTGTTTGTGGCCAACCTGCCACGTGCGGGACAAAATTAAAAGCCTTTGCATGCTCCACTTTCAATCCCAACGAGTCCTGCGGAACTCCTATTGAATGCAGCCAGGGCGGCTGCACTGGGGAAAACTTGGGGTTCCTCCATTATTCAGAAGCTGTGGTAGTGAAATGCCGAGCTCGAGAACTCTTAATTATAAAAAGCGTTTCGGGGAATCCAAAATGATTTTTCAAAGTTTTGATAAGCATTATCTCAAAATAGGTATCAGCGCATAGCTTCAAACGGAGGTCAACATTCCAACCCATTTTCGTATTTCCAGTGGCCTTCAGAATGGAACCCAAATCCCATAACTTGACTCGTAGGATTCGGATTTAGACGTGGGATACCTCTATGAATTTCTGGTTGAATTTTCTAATATTCTACATTAAAATCTAACTTTAAAATGAGGGTCAAAAATTTGACCCATTTTCATGTTCGATTTTTCCGTATTTTTTAAGGCAGCCAGAATGGGAACCCAAAACTGCACTTCTAGATTCCATAACTTGAGTTATTGGATCCCGATTTAGACGCGGGATACCTCTTTGAATTTGTGGTTGAATTCTCATATATTCTACATTTAAATTTACCTTTAAAACGAGGGTCAAAAATTTGACCCATTTTCATGTTCGATTTTTCCGTATTTCCTAAGGTATCCAGAATGGGAACCCAAAACTGCACTTCTAGATTCCATAACTTGAGTTTTTGGATCCCGATTTAGACGTGGGATACCTCTTTGAATTTGTGGTAAAATTATCTAAAAGTCTACATAAAAATTTACCTTTAAAACGAGGGTCAAAAATTTGACCCATTTTCATGTTCGATTTTTCCGTATTTCCTAAGGTATCCAGAATGGGAACCCAAAACTGCACTTCTAAATTCCATAACTTGAGTTATAGGATCCCGATTTAGACGTGGGATACCTCTTTGAATTTGTGGTTAAGTTATCTAAAACTCTACATTAAAATTTACCTTTAAAACGAAAGTAAAAAATTTAACCCATTTTCATGTTCGATTTTTCCGTATTTCCTAAGGCAGCCAGAATGGGAACCCAAAACTGCACTTCTAGATTCCATAACTTGAGTTATTGGATCCCGATTTAGACGCGGGATACCTCTTTGAATTTGCGGTTGAATTCTCTTATATTCTACATTTAAATTTACCTTTAAAACGAGGGTCAAAAATTTGACCCATTTTCATGTTCGATTTTTCCGTATTTCCTAAGGTATCCAGAATGGGAACCCAAAACTGCACTTCTAGATTCCATAACTTGAGTTATTGGATCCCGATTTAGACGTAGGATACCTCTTTGAATTTGTGGTAAAATTATCTAAAAGTCTACATAAAAATTTACCTTTAAAACGAGGGTCAAAAATTTGACCCATTTTCATGTTCGATTTTTCCGTATTTCCTAAGGTATCCAGAATGGGAACCCAAAACTGCACTTCTAGATTCCATAACTTGAGTTATTGGATCCCAAATTAGACGTGGGATACCTCTTTGAATTTGTGGTTGAATTCTCTAAAAGTCTACATTAAAATTTACCTTTAAAACGAGGGTAAAAAATTTGACCCGTTTTCCTGTTCGATTTTTCCGTATTTCCCAAGGTATTCAGAATGGGAACCCAAAACGGAACTTATAAATTCCATAACTTGAGTTATTGGATCCCGATTTACACGTGGGATACCTCTATGAATTTGTGGTTGAATCATCTAATATTCTGCATTAAAATTTAACTTTAAGAAATGAAATGAAATTTTTAATATTTCAACATTGTATTATTCTGGAAGAAAAACGATATTATTATTAAACTCTTTCCCTTGTATCCCCGACTTTTTCTAAGAGCTATTATTACATCTTCTTTCCGTTTTTTTCATCCCCCAATACCGATTGCCCACCCATATACTTATAGCTGGCCAGAGTAATGACATGGCGACCATTGGTGACCTATCGATGATCTCACCGCCCACGTCTTCCATCTCGAACGACCAAGATCCGTTTGGACAGCTGCCCCCGCTACCGCCGCCACTGCGTTCCACCCAAGTGCTCCAGCCGCTGAGCGTGTTTCCAGGTGCCCCCTACCGCCAATTATTTTGACACTTTTTGCCAATCTTTTGAATTACTTTCCGCATATATATGTTGCTCTACATATATGCGCCAATTTGTGTTTGTTCTTCTCGTTGTTTGCCTGCAGTTCTTGCCTTTTGTTTGGGCATTATTTGTTTGTTTCCCTTTTATTTTTTTGCATTCAGTTTGCCAGAGTTTTTGTGTAGCTTTTTCCGCCCATTATGAAAGTTACTGTTGCACCTTTTGTATAAAAATCCTTATTTGGTTTTCCTTTCTTTTCTATTGTGCCATTTCCAATTGATTGCAACTTTAATTGGTGTGTAGATTGGGTTCTTTGATTGGTCGGTTTGTTGATTTATTTTCCTTTCATACACACACACTCTTCATACACTCGGCCTGCCTCACAAATCATAGTCCACTCGTACAGGTGTAACCCTGTACGAACACCACTAGCTACACTCGAACATTGCCACAGAGAACCGCATTTTGAACCCGACTTTTGTTTAGCATTTTCAGCAGCATTCAGTCAATCAATCAATCAGACAAATCTCAAAAACCAATCAGTCAAACAGTCGTCCATTACTATATATCGAACTGTCTCTCTCTCTTTCCCACACACACTCTCCTTCTCTCTCTATTTGTCTAGTTCCATATATTGCTTGCCGTTTGTATTGCCACTTTTTGACTATATAAAATAAGAGTTTTTGTTTGTGTTGCCACAAAAGCCCAAATCATTTCAAAGTTTCGAATTTTTCAAGTAGTTTTCAACGCTGCTGTGTGTTTTTTAACCAAATTGTTTATTAGAGCGAAACCAACAAAGAAAAAACAGAAAAAAAGAACAGGCTGTGACAGCCGCTTTGTAACCATTTTTTGAACGCAAAAATTACTGTGTCCACCTTTAGCTGCCTTTTTGTGTGTGCTGTCCCAATGAAAATCGAAATCCAGCTAACAATCTGCCACATTTTGTGCTCTCTATTCTTCCATAAAAACCAACTACAACAACTACAACTACGAACTACAATAACAACAACAACAAAATGAAAATGACGAAATCTCGACAAACTAAATATTTGCCTTGGTTCTTATGTTTATTTTAATGTTTGTCTTACTTTACACAATATTTGTGTATCATATATATAATGTGTAGAGTGAGTATACGAGATAATGGAAAAAAGAAAACAAACAGCTTGTGATATTATTTTTGAGTTTTTGGGTTTAATTTCGGTTTAGTTTGTGCCGCTCTCTGTGTTTTTTCATTTTGCTCCATAAGAGCGCGTGTTACTTTCGAAATGTAATTCTAAAACAATTTCCCCATGCCTGGCAGTGTCCAATTTGAGCGAAGATTCCTACGATTATGTTTTTGGTGGTCGACGTAAGACTCCGCCCACAACAACGTCAACACAACTCAAGCTGACCTCACCGCCCGTGCGCTTGCGACCCGAAGGTGGGTAGTCTTCCTCAGGAGAGTCCTGCACAGGAACTATATTATATTGATAATGTACAAAGTGTTATGATCCAAGGGGTCACAGAAGTCACTGGGGTCTGAAATCAAATGCAGAGGGGTCTAAAAGTATGCTATAATATATTTTGTATCCAAAGGATTTGTTCCGAAAGAGGACGTTTTCCTATATTGCATACTTTTAGACACCTATCTAAATTATTTTCCTATTATATTGTTATATATATTAAAGATACAAAATTAACAAATAATCATAACAAAAGATTTAAGATTAAGATTTAAATAACATAAGCACCATGCAGGACTCTCTTTCTAACCCACCCCCAAGATCACATATTTAACAAAATCTCCCCGTTCTTTTAACGCCACCTTATAAACATGCAGACGCCTATCGCGGAGCTAACATAAACAACGGAAGGTTCTATCGTCACTCCTTCAGCTACGCCCCCAAAAGGCAGCGCCACTCGAGTCGGGATGATCGAGACCGCGAGTCTAGGTTGAGATGTCATGGCGAGGACGAGGCCACACTGCGCCAATTGCTGCTCGAGTACGTAGGATCCCGAACCTCCCGACTCCCAAGCGGTCGTACAACCCATAAAACCCCCGATCCGCTGCCAAGTAAAAAGAAAGGGCGACCTCGTAATGGACTCGGTGGCTTTTCGGGGCCAGGAGCTCATTACGGGCCATTAATTTGCAGGCGCGACCGGGGGATTGGATGGCCGGCCATAAATATCCGCTTTCAGTTAGACAAATAAACAGCAATTATTTGTGTGCGCCATGTTTATTTAATTTATTAAACGAATAACGAACGATATATTTTTAGTTTGGGCGTAAATAAATTTTAATTTCCATTTTAATTTGTGTGTTTTTTGGTGTGCAAGCCCCTCTACCCCAACCCTTTTTCGGTTTAATTTCTGTGGCTTGTGATATATTAACGAGCAAATATGCAATGTATATGTTTAATGTTCTCCTCCCACACAGATTTGCGCAAGTTATGTTCAGTTAAGTGTCCTGCGTGTGTCCTTAGACTGTCAATTATTCATTGAGGGCCTTTGTGTTGTGTTGTTTTTGTTGCGCAACAACCTCCCCGACAAAAGATATCACATAGAAACCCCAAATAACTCAGCCGCGGCCACATACGACATTCACCAAACCCGAAAAGAATGAAAAGCGAGATAAAAGTGAGCAGAGACTGTATGAGCAAAGCGACTATATACCGCAGTACCGCACTGTACTAAAGAAATAATTATATAGCAAAAGAGACTCTATAACCAAATCAATTTACCGACGGAGTCCAAAGCAAAGCCAACAAAATGATGGGCACTATGCCACCCAGGTACATAACCGTAGAGTTAATCTAAAAATTAATTAACTTTAACATTACCAGTAACATTAAAATAACAATAGCGACCAGATCGCAATGCGATTGAAAACAATTCGAACATCACTCATCCGCCATGTATGCCGAGCACAAGTTTGGTTTTTATTCTTTCGATTCATTAACCATTCATAACCATTCATACTCTCGTTCATCCATTCGAGCTGATTGTGTGTCACATTAATAATTTTGTTCGTGTAAATTTAAATGGCCTCTCATCGTTAATTAAAAATGTTAATTAGCAGCATTTGTTTGCCGTTTGCTGCCTCTTTGCTTTCACAAAACCGCCTTTGTTGCCATGTCACGTGCTGTACAAAACTGCAACTCAATCGGAACGTATTTACTTTGCTTAAATGTCACCGAGTGATTGAGCACATGTGTCTGTAATTTCATTTCCACACTACCTGTCAATCACTCGAGTATATACTGGGGATGAAAAAATAGAGAAGAATCGAATAAGATAAATTGACAATAGGATGCGTTGTATATTGAATTGTAGAGATAGCAATGTAAACAAATTATCGCTTTGTGTCTTGTGAATTTGCTAATACAATCGAAATAACTAAAATATTAAAGTTTACAAGGACAACAGAATGTAAATATACCTCTTAATAGCATATAAAACTAACAAATCTACCAAAACTAATATTAACTTTGATTGATTCAAGCCAGATGTTTTCTTTTATACGAATATCATAAACAGAGATTTCCGTTTCAATCCGTTAAACATATAAGGTGCTCTATGTCTGAAGTATCGACACTTTTACCATCCCTAGTATATACCGTATATGTATTTTCTCTATCTGTCTATATGTCTGCAACCGCCGGAAATGCATTTCGTCAAATGCAAACGAGGCAGAATCGAAGGATAGTCCGGAATCTGACGAAATGCACTTCTGGCCTGCACCCACGAAACCCCTGCCTCACATCTTGTACAATGTCTATACGTGTTCTTTATCATCCAATTCCAATTCCGAAATGCCCCTTGAACCACTAAAACTGCCACAATAACTCCATGAACTCCATGAACTCCATGAACAACAACAACTACAACTCAACCACCGAAAACAACAAAAGCCACACGCAAAGTGGCCTGGTATTCACGCCACTCAATGAGTATGCAATTACAACCAACTAACTTCAATTACGAAATCTAAATATTTTTACTCTACCCCTCGTCATATTGTAATGCAATGATAATCCAATGATTTCCCCTTCTCTCTGCCTTTTGCACTACTCTCTATTTTGGCACTCGTAGCCCATCAAATTGATTTGTTAATTATTAGAATATTTGCCCAAAACCATTCACTTTGCTCCCCCTTTTGCATGGAACGCAATTAGAATTCAATTATGTTCAAATAAATTAATTTAGTTTCCAAAACGTGCTCATCATCTGGATGGGAAAAATAGAGAGAGGGCTTGGGAAGTGTGGGCGTAGGTGTGAATTCCCATTTTGGCCCTGCTCAAAAAACCCTCGAGAGCAGTCACAACAATCTGACGCTTCTGCTGCACAGAGATAAAAAGTCACAAGGATTTGCATCAGCAAATTACGAGGTGTAGCTAGAAATGTAATGAAGAACTATTTATATTTTATTTGGAGTCTAGGTTTTGAAATCTTGGACTTGCCATAATATAGTACGCAAAATAAGTAAATTTATGGATATACCATAATTATATTTAAAGCTTGGTGATGGTAGCATCTCCTTACCAATTTTAGATAACAACAATTATTTAAGGAGTCTAAAAAAATAGTTGAGAATTCGGTGCAGTGTTCATATTTTCAAGAAAATCAAAAAAGGTGTATAGAAGTATGCTACAAAATATTTTCGGATGAGTAGTACTGTGGAAAATGGTATTTTTTCACAGCATACTTTTATGCTCCGTAAAATATTTGTACCCAATGCTATATCCCTTACAATTTTGCATAGAAACGAAAGTTAAAACTCATTTACCCCAGTTCTCCGAATTAATCCGATATTAAACATGGGGCAGACGAAGTGATTTATTTTTCTCTGTGCGGTTGCCGGGATGTTGTGTTTTTTATGACATGCCGAAAAGTGTTTGAGGGCCATTAAGTTGCTGTTCGCACCACACACACAGTCGCACACCCACTCACCCACACTCGCGCACTGCCATGTAAAGCCATTGACAAACATCCTTTGGCCAGGCAGTCAATCAGCCTGCGGTTGGCCACTTCAGCAGCGCTCTCTCTCTTTTTCACCACCGCCCCGCCCTGCATGCCATCAAGTTCATAATTAGCTTAACCCCTTAACCCCAAAAACCCCCTCGTGCGTAATCCCCTGCCCAATGCATCACCCAGTCAGTCAGCCAGTCACACAATATTTTCAGGATTTTTCAACTCGTTAATGTCCCTCCTCCATTTGTGTTGTTGTGTTGCCATTTCGGTTCCATTTGTTTCCTTTGCTGCAATGAATTACTGTACACTTTTTATGGTTTAATGCTCGATGTTTAAAAGTTTGCATACAAACAGAACCCCGACTAATTGGCGTAACGGTCCCTTCACCAAAATTTACAAAAACCAAAAAGACTGAGTGAAACCTGTAACAAGCAGAAACTACTACCAACATTTGTTTTCCGTTCATCCGTTCATTTTGGCTTTGCATATGTGTATGTATCTCTGTTCTCGAAGCGAAATCAAACAATTCCATAATCCAAACAAAATGTTAATCATGCCAATCATAAAATACAGCCCTGCAAAACGAAATCATCGAGACCACAAATAAATTTAAATTGATTTACAAATGCCAACGCATCGCGGGCTGTGCAGCACAAGTTTATGAGAGTCAACATGCAAAAAACAGGCTGAAAAACAAGAATTTGCAACGTTTGGTGAATGTCCTATATGCCAATTGGTTTGAACACCCCGACCTTCCCGAATTCCCCAATTTCCCGATTCGATCTGATTGATGTACTTTATATATACAGCCATGCCAGATGTATGGGAACAATCGATTTTGATTTTAATTTATTCGCTGAATTTATTGTGTGCACTGAGATCTGAACTGAGTTTTATCTGTAAGTGAGTCTGGATATTTGACGGATGTGGACTTTTCGGAGGGTTAATGTGATTGAAATCCTGCCAAAGCACAATCCGCTTTTGTCTTTTCGAGACGAAAAAATGTGATGTTCCTAAAACTGCTGTGCGCAGTTTTTTGACGAAATGAACAATCCTGGGATCCTTTTAGAAGGCAGAGCGGAGCACACGTACTGCAGCCTTTAATGAATGCACAAGCCGGGGAGAAATTGGCAGAAAATTTATTAAATGCTCACGTATACAATTCCCTTACACAAAACCGAAAATTCCTGCAGCTGACAAGCACACACACACATAGTGAGCAATTGTTTTCGCAGAGAACAATAACTTTCACAGGATGCGCTCGAATCTCGAATCTGGAATCTCTCGTCCTGGTTCTGGTTCTGGTTTGCTCTCGATTCTGTTTCGGATTCGGTTGCCACATCCACTGATGTATGCATAAAATAATCCCTTTATGCTCGGCACAACAATGTCCGTGAAATGCAAAACAATAACAGTACTAACGATAGCAATCCCTTCCCAACCCCTTGCCAACCCCTTGCCAACCCCTTCCCAACCCCTTCCCAAGCCCTTCCCAACCCCTTCCCAACTCCTTCCCAACCCATTCCCCACCCCATCCCCCTCATTCAGCGCTGCATTAACATAATGCGCAGGCAACTCAAGCACGGCCCACGTGTCGTATGCGCAATGCGAGCGGCTGTGGGGCGCCATTCATATATATCACTATATATATATGGTTCTATCGGCACATCGCCATCCGCTGGCAACTGTCGCCCACCACTTTTGTTGCCATTTGATTTAGATGCCACCCCAAACAAACAAAGCACAAAGTGCACCTTCCGATCCGACCAGATACTCGATATTTAGATATACAGTCAAACATGTCCGTATCGAACTTTAATGAACCCTGTTTTAGGATCTTTGATGGTTAAGTAATGAACTTCGTGAAACAGATTGCATCTATTAAAAGGTGTTCAAAATATTTCCTTAAATATCCCATTAATATTTGATGATAAGGGAATTGTAATAAATAAAACGTTTTCGATGTACACCAATTTTTCAAATAATTAAGTTTATATATGATTGTTTCTAGAACTTTCTAGAAGTATAAGTAAAAGTCATTAAATCACTTGACTCTTTATATCCAAAGTTTTCAGTTAAAAAATCCTTAAAATAACAGCTTTATCATAAGCTTTGTTTTCGTTTACGGAACTTTGACTGTAGTGCAAAAAGCGGAGCCGATTTGTTTTCACAGGCTTTTGCTTTGCTTTTGCGGCTGATGAAAATGTAAATTTGATGCATTCGAAAGGCGAGCTAGATATAAACAGGATTATTACTACAACTTTGGCAGGACTATCCATCCATCCATCCAGCTCTCCGAAAGAGTTGCCAGCAGAAGAGCCAAATAAATGGGGCCAGAGTTCAGCTGGCTTAAATATATACGTGTACACTGTACATATATAAATTTATATACCCAATGCCGTCAACTTTTCATCCTCGTGCATTGTACATTACTCTTGCCTTAACCTTAACGAAATATGCCAACAATTTACTTTAAGTTACTTTTTATGTACTTAGTGGCCTGGCTCGGTTATTATTGTTGTTCTCGGTCCGCCCAACACAGAAATCCTTTCTTGGACTTCTGCCCAAGGAGGCGAGTGACTTTGGTCCTTACAAGGAACTCGTTCTGCAACTGGCGTGCGTTTCTGTTTCAGTTTCAGTTTCTGTTTCAGTTTTTGTTTCTGTTCCTCAGCCTTTCGGTTTCGAGCTGTGGCCCATAAAATTTATGTTGCTTCATTCCTCAATAATTGCATAGCTCAGTAAATTTTAATGCAAGCGGTCATAAATAATTTCGTTTTGTTTGTGTGTTTCGTTGCGTTTTGCGTTTACTTTGGGCCAGAGCGAAATAAATTACGTATACGCTAAATAACTCTGTCTCGGTCTCGTAGTGGAATAAGTACTTTAAGGAATGAACTCGAAGGCATTTCCCGGCTGGCGTACGACTAAAATGCATTTTTGCTTGATATATTCTCTTTGACCTCTGACCGCGCACCACTGAAATGCGACCCCTGACCACTGACAGTTTGCAAAAGCAAGTTAGCGTGATGAGCATGAATCTGTCAGCGAAACTCGATGAGCTGCAGCGGGGAGATCGACACCTGGAGACGACGGTCGCCCTGTGCGAAATCCGCACCCAGCTCCAGGAGCTGACCAAGTCCGTGGAGAGCTGCCAGAGCGAAGTGTCCGAGGTGAGTGGGGAGTACGGGATCCGGAAAATACATGATTGGGTACGGCAATTCCTAGCAATATGTGTCCAGACTGTAAGTGAACAGCTTAAAATAGGTTTAGGTGAGATAGGATTTCATTCCTCTCAAATAGCTGCCTGAAAGTATGCTTTAATTCATTGAAAGCTCGAAAGTCCTAACTGTAAGTGCCAAGGAACAATGCATTATATTTTATAGCATACTTTTGGACACCTTTTTAAGAGATTGATATACACAATAATCAATTTTAAGTAATAAATGAAATTGTTTTCAATATACATACAACATTAATGCTTAGCAAACTCAATTATTGGTTAAATGCCAAATAACATACAAAGCTTCTTTACATTGTAAATTATTTGAAAACGGAGAGCGTTAATTAGGGAAACATTTAGTAATTAAAAAAACCGAATTTGCATGGAAAATGTTCTAATTAGGCTTGGTCAAAAGGAAAATTATAGAAGTGTAATTTGCATATTAAGCATTTAAATGACATTTAGGAAGTATGACATTTATATTGGTATACCGCAACAAATTATTAAAAATACCATTAAAGAAAATTTTAAGTGTAGAAGTCAAAGTTTTCCAATAAATATGGCTGAGAATTGTCTACAGTATCCGATGCCCCTGTGACTTATTATCTAAAGAGTATAACTTGAAGAGTACAATTAAAACACACTATTAAAACCAGGTGAAGCGCGATATGGTGGCCATCAAGCACGAACTGGACACCGTGCAGCAGGTGAAGGAGGAGATCGAGGAGCTGCGCGAATACGTCGATCGACTGGAGGAGCACACGCACAGACGGAAGCTAAGACTTTTAGAACAAGTTTGTAGCTTAAATTATTTGCCATGTTGTGTAATTAAATACTTGAATTTCATTTCTCTATTCATGTACAAACCGAAACACCAAGAACCAACTACCAACAACCCAGAGCCAGACAACCACACGACCAAAAACCACCCAAAACCACCCGAACATCCATCCACCCAGCCACACTCAACCACTGACAGCAAAAACTGCCACCATGATGGACAGATGCAAATGCTCCTCGAATTGGTTTCAGTTTTTGTCCACACTCGAACAAATTTTTGATGGAGATAAGAGTTAAACTTTTTTATATATATCTACCAATTGAAAAGTATCTTTATATCGAAAATTTAAAAAAGCTTAAAGTTCAATATTTAAAATGGAAAACTCGTTAAAAATATATAAAGGCTTAACAAAGATTTGTTTGAGAGTACTGCACACGTACAGACGGCTTCTTCATCAACGTATTTAAAAGAATCTTGCGATTGTTTATTTTTTAAGTTCTGTAGCAAAAATCAAATAAATATATACGAAAAGTGCTAATGAAAAACATTTATTATTTTGTTTGATTTCTTTGATTTTAAGTATGGTTTCCAACATCCAAACACTCTCATCCATCTGACTTTATCTTATGGTTTCTTTATCCCTGAGTTTCGATTAGAAAATTGGGCTTATCCAAAGAGAAAGCTTTGGTTTCCTTGCCGCACACTCGTTTGCAAAGCGTTTGATGGACCCGCCCGCACAGCCCCCACCGAATCCCCACCGTCCCGGCCCCCACCCCGCTCCCCCACAGAGTTGTTCCCCACTAATGGTATTACCCATCGAAACTTTCAGGGTCTCACCTTCTTCCTCACCTACTCGATCTTCTCGGCGGTGCTGGGCATGCTGCAGTTCGGTTACAACACCGGCGTCATCAACGCGCCCGAGAAGAACATCGAGAACTTCATGAAGGACGTCTACAAGGACCGCTACGGCGAGGACATCAGCGAGGAGTTCATCCAGCAGCTCTACTCGGTGGCGGTCTCCATTTTCGCCATCGGCGGCATGCTGGGTGGTTTCAGCGGCGGCTGGATGGCCAACCGCTTTGGCAGGTTAGTGGAAAAATCTCCTCAATCGTTTAGAACAATAAAAACATAATATATATTTATTAAAAAATGAAAATATAATAAAAACGATGATCAAGATATAATACATACAGGGTGCCAGATACAACAACTGGAAGCTATCTATATCTCCGTCTTGAAAGATACAATTTGATACAATATAGTATAGAAAATTTCAGTAAATACAGAATATATATTTTTGTATACTCGATGAATATAATATGTACATCTTTTTAAAGGCACAGTTAAACCCTTGAAAATTCATAGTTTTTAAAACATGTAAATCTTGTTTTATAATTAGGGATAACTTTTAAAATGACAATGGAGTTTTTGAATATTAGTAGTTTGTAACTAAACTTCATTATCCGCCTGGCAAATAAAGTACAGTTCAAGCTCTGCGTTATTGGTGTACATCATGCCACTTCGCAAATAAACGTGGTGGTATTGGTGAGGAGTGGTGTCTTCGATATGTAAAAACTGCGCCTTTTTGCCAGATGCCACAGACAGGTACTCATTATATTTGTCCACATCAGTGAGGCCCAGCCAGTAGGGATTGTACTTGTGTTTGAGTTTCAGTTTGATGGCGTCAAACTCCTCTTGATTTTTGAAGGCGGCCAGATAGCCACCCATCCATTGACAGGACTTCTCTGCATTGTACCAATTTAGCTTAAAAGTGTTCTCGATGTAGAAGTATCTCCCACCGATTTGCTCGAACCCCGGAGGAACTTTCTTCGCCTCTTCCGTTGTTTTCACTGCAATTAGGGTTTCCTGGATTGCAGCCAGTTGGTGCTCCATCCTCTCCAGCTTTCCTAGTGTTTCATTTTGCATTTTATCCAAAATATCCTGCGTGTTCATCTGTTTTGTAGCCCACTTTTCCTGGTTTTCAGTTTGTATTTTATCCAAAATCGCCTGAGTTTTGATTTCTATTTTATCCAGCTTCTCCTGGTTCGCAGTCCACAACTGCCGAAGCTTTATGCTGTGATTCCGTGATTCCTGTGATTCTTGCAGGAAAAATAGAATAATTAATCCGAACAAAAGCATTTTAGCCGACTTCAGCATTTTAAGTTCGAGCAACTGCAATGGGTGAGAATTGATTTTGAACTGAAGTATAACGAACATGGGTCGGGCTTTAATCATGGTATTCAGGAAATGTTTCCGCTAAGTATATATATTTTGTGGGAATATTATGATACGAAAAGAAAGTTTATAATTATACTTATCGCAAGCGTACTATTTTTGTTTGTTTTATATATTTTCTGCAGAATTAGTTCTAGATAAAATGGAAATAAATTCGCTTGAATTCGTACACTTAAAATAAATAACATATATCTTTAATTGGTATGGTATCCTATATCTTTCAAATTGCAGAAAAGGCGGCCTACTGTTAAACAATGTGCTCGGAATTGCCGGCGCCTGTTTGATGGGATTTACCAAAGTTAGTCATTCCTATGAAATGTTATTCCTTGGCCGATTTATAATTGGTGTAAATTGCGGTGAGTAATACTGGTGTACTATCTTATATTCCTTTTTATGGATGAATGGATACTTTGTAGGCCTCAACACGTCGCTGGTGCCCATGTACATCTCCGAGATAGCGCCACTGAATCTGCGCGGTGGCTTAGGTACTGTTAATCAATTGGCTGTGACTGTAGGTTTACTATTATCCCAAGTGCTGGGCATCGAGCAGATCCTGGGCACCAACGATGGATGGCCAATCCTGCTGGGCCTGGCCATCTGCCCGGCGATCCTGCAACTCATCCTGCTGCCTGTCTGCCCGGAGTCGCCCAGATATCTGCTCATCACCAAGCAGTGGGAGGAGGAGGCGCGCAAAGGTGGGATAAGTTTGCTATAATATTTCAATAACTTGATATTAGTGGCAGTTACTCATGAAAGATATTCTTTTTAGCCCTGCGACGACTGCGAGCCTCCGGTTCCGTGGAGGAGGACATCGAGGAGATGCGGGCCGAGGAGCGGGCCCAGCAGTCCGAGAGCCACATATCGACCATGGAGCTGATCTGCTCGCCCACCCTGCGTCCGCCCCTGATCATCGGCATCGTAATGCAGCTGAGCCAGCAGTTCAGCGGCATCAACGCCGTCTTCTACTACTCCACATCGCTCTTCATGAGCTCGGGATTGACTGAGGAGAGCGCCAAGTTCGCCACGATAGGCATCGGCGCCATAATGGTAGGTGGTCTTCTCCGACTTTCAGGGACCCAGGAAACTTACTCAATGCCCGGTTCCAAAATCAGAATATTAATATATTACGTCCCCACAGGTTGTAATGACCCTCGTCTCCATTCCGCTGATGGATCGCACGGGTCGCCGGACCCTGCACCTTTATGGCCTGGGCGGAATGTTCATATTCTCCATCTTCATCACCATCTCGTTCCTGATCAAGGCAAGTATAGGGGTCTCCAGGATAGTCGAGTACTGCTCTGGCTCCTGTAAAGTAGCAATGCCTGCGAATGTGAATGCTAAAGTGCCTGCCAGTTTGGGTTTGCATTTGTTAATCCCCCGTCCATTTAGTGATTTGCATTTGACTCTGAACTTCTAGAGAAGCTAGAACTAATCCCGTATATCCCATTTGCTCCCAAGCGAGTGCGTGTGCTTATAAATATTTGAATATTGATATAAATATTTTATGCATGAAGTTGTGTTTAACCCCGTCGAGCCCTCAAAACAAGAAAAAAACACAGAAACAAAACAACACACAAACACTCAACCAAACACACAGATACAGAGCATGACAGTTGTCCCGCGCGTATTTCTATAAATTATTGATGTGAGATATATTTGAATTTATAACAAGTTGGATTTATGACTCTCCCTCAGCCATTAAATGTAGCTTTTTTGAGTTTTTTCCCTATTTGCATTGATGTATTGCATTTAAGTCATAGACGTATGTGTGTTTAATTTATAGGCCAACACTTGGTCGCTTTAGTTATTAATTATGTCCTCTATCTGCGATTTGAAAATATGCTACGCGGATTGTGGCTCATGCATGATTAGCTTTGGAATGCTTTGGTATAGTTGAGTTTTATACATTTGAATTTATTACGAATCGCATATTTTGTACACACTTTTTGCACGTGGCTTGCCCTTAGATATATTTCATATTTATTTGCCTAGGCTAAGTTGTTGCACCTGAGAGCTGGCTGAACAGTGTATTTAAATCAGAAACCTGTCTTTAGTTATGTCTGACATTGAAAGGCAAGTTCCTGATTCGGAATTTCCAGGCCAGCTCCCAAGTGCAACTGTCCCGCCCCTCAATTTAGAGCTATTCTCGACTTGGCAGGCTTTCGCCCCACAAAACACTCACTCGAAATCGGTTGACGAATTCCTTCTGTTTATGATTTCTACGCTTTGTTTTTCGCTAGAAGCAATCCACACAGTTTCAAAGGCAAGCAAAAGTTTCGAAAAACCAAAATCCAACACACATTCTGCAAAACTCTGCAAAGTTTTCCGGGCACCAGTTCCACCAGCTCCCCAAAAATGGAGGAAAAATAGAGCAGAGCACCGCGCTGAACTCGCTTTTAGAGGTGTCGCCACCTCTCACACACGAAGCCCCACACAGAAACCCACATTCAATGTGACCTCAAGCCTTGATTTCTTTTTTGTTTGGTAATTGTGTAAGATATAGCTAACTTTACGTACAACTAAGCATTCCTAAGCATTCTCAGACCCCGAAAAAGACTCGAGCAGCAGTTCAGAGGTCAACTCTTTGAGAACCAAGAAAACGAGAGGCCAGCCAACTCCAATTCTAACTTACTACTTTCCATACTCAATAACCAACTCATGCATAAAAGAGACCAGGTCTTTCAGGGGAGGGGGTTGTATCCTATATTTATTCGTATTATTTCGGAGACAGTTCGTTAAACGCGAGTAGAGGATGAGAAAAAGCCTACATCGAGAATGCGAGTACTATGCATTTTGTATAGGAGTTCTTTGGTTATGTGCAGGAAATGATCGACTGGATGTCCTACCTCTCGGTGGTGGCCACCCTCGGCTTCGTCGTCTTCTTCGCGGTGGGACCCGGATCGATTCCCTGGATGATCACCGCCGAGCTCTTCTCCCAGGGACCCCGGCCCAGTGCTATGGCCATCGCGGTGCTGGTCAACTGGATGGCCAACTTTGTGGTCGGCATCGGATTCCCCAGCATGAAGGTAAGTGAAACGAAATACTTTTTAATTTAAAGCAATACTAAACCAATTAAAAAGCAGAAAAGCCTTTCAGGTGTAATAATTTTTCTAAATATATACCATCTTGACCTCTTTTTATCCAGACTGCCCTGGAGAACTACACGTTCTTGCCGTTCAGCGTGTTCCTGGCCATCTTCTGGATATTCACCTACAAGAAGGTGCCCGAGACGAAGAACAAGACCTTCGAGGAGATCCTGGCCCTCTTCCGGCACAACAACGGCAGGTATGTGTCCTTGCATTCGCCCATTCCCCAGCTCAAATTCTGCACACAAATCATGGCAATATGTCGAATAGTTCTTCAGCCCATAACTATAACTCGAGATTCCGCAACCAACACAAGAAACGTGAACCACAAGCTAGAAAAAACAGATACCGAGTCTTTGAACCCTCGATTACCATTACTTGGAAGTTTATTATGCGGTTAGCATAGCCAGACTGATCCAGTGAACCGAACTCCTCCGTTCGGTTCAAGGTTCAGAAGTTTTGATTTGTTTTCCTTTTGAAATTTGGTTTCTCTTCTGTTCTGTAATGCACCATAAGTTCGAAATTAACCCTCTGACTTGAACTACGTTCCATGTATGCCCCAAGGACCTTTCGAGATAGTAGACTGTACGGGTAAGTTGCATGAAGCCACCGAATCGATCGATCTCGACTCTTAAACTCCGTATCTAAATGCCCCACAATCCAAAATCAAAAAACAAATATCAACTATCCGATCCGATGCGTTTCGCGCTTCAAACTTTCACCTTTAAATCGTAGCTCGTATTGCTGTACTTTATTTAGCCACTTTATGTACAATTTTTAACCGACAACCAAAAAATCAAACCGAAAGTTAACCGAATCAAAAATTGAAATTGTGAATTCCTGCGCTACAAGTTTCTATCAATTTTTCGGCATGTTTGCTTAACTTTGCCTGTACTTTGTTACAACTCGTTACTTTGTTACTACAACTACAATCTATAAACTGGCTGCCGTAAAAGCAAACTAAATAAGACTCATACTAGCCAACTATATAAATACCCAATATTTAATATCAATTTTAATACTCTACTCTCCAACTCTCTCTATGCATAGCTATACCGTTACCTATACTTACTACTATGATTAAGAGTCGCATCTCATCTGTTTTCTGCCCCCTATATCACGTCATCTGAAGTATCAGAATCGCTATCATTGCGCCCCGTTCCCCTCATCGATCATTAACGAAATAAATTGGTTAGTTTAAAGTGGTCCACCCATCATGAAAACCCATATGAGCCCCACTCACACAGCCACACAGACACGCACACACTGATTTTGTTGACCGATCTTCCGACCATATAGCGAGGATAATGCCAACGAAAATAGTGCCAACACCGCGGACTTTGAGTTGTCGCAGGGCGAAGTCGAGGGCAAAGGTTCCGCATCCGCGCACCCCAAGGCACAGTGAAGCCCCGCTAAGGCAGCTCCACCGTCCCAGAACCAGTGTGACCAGTCCAAATCTATGTAATTTATAAATATCAACTACCACCTCCACTCATAGCAATTCCTGGAAGATCCGACGTGGGCGCCATATCCCAATTTAGAACTAGTGCTAGTTTAAATCAATTTAATTTCACGTTACATGATTGTTTACAAATAAATGTTACTTTATTACCATTTTCCGTTGACTTTGTTTTTATGATTATGATTTTTAAGCCGCGCCTAATAACTTCCAAGCTGCCTCTATAACACACAAGCTACAGAGCCTCCAGCGAGATCCTTTTTTCGGTGAATCTCTTAACTCCAAACCAAACAGCCAGAACCCTGAAAACAAAAACTCTCGAAATTGCTCTCATTAGTTGCAAAGAAATTAAATTTACCAAATACGTTTACACTTAAAACATAATCGTAGAGTGTGCGAATTTCAGGAGTATGCTAAACTGCACAAATAGCTTGGAGCCACAAAGTATGAATTCTGGCATCGAGCATGCCGCCTTGATGGTATCTGAGGAGAAGACCCAACATGACTCACGTAAGAATCCAAAACACGCCAAAGTGCCACCTAGAACACCCGATTCCCTCCGATTCCGAGTTCTAATCCTTCACATCCTGCCCATCCCGAAGTCCTCGAAAAACCACACCTTGATTGCGTTTCAGTTTCACTTTCACTTCCAGTTTCCGTTTGAGTTTTTAATTTCCACGTTATTTGTTGTGCAAATTGCTCGAACCACACACCCAATATTTGCATATCCATATACACAGGTGGTGAGACGAACACACAAGTTAGCAAATGTCCTTTAGGTAAACACGAAAGAACCCTAATTTTGAATATACTTGTTGACTGTTTAAACTCCGCAAAGCCACATAATCAAACAAAATGTATCTATGTAAATTGCCTTAAAAACAACACTTGTTCAACATTCGACGTGTTGCATAATTAATTTTTTGTTTCACAACCAATGAGATGTTGGGGCATAAAAATACTTGGGGGGCATAATTAACACGAATATAAACAAACTAAAACCATCCCACAGAAGTTTGCAGTATACCTTTTAAAATTGTATAGCATACTTTTTTTTTAATCACACCTGTACACCTTAACGAGCAATTAGTCACACGTTTTATTTTTATTACAAAGGAAATAAAGCATTTTCCCGATCCATTGAAAGTCCCCTACTAACCTCCTTCATCTCCACTCATTAAAATAAATGTGTGTGTATCTATAAATTTCCAACTGTTATCGTTTGCCTAGTATTTCTGAAGTATCATTTGGAATGACTCTTTTCCTAATTACCTAGCTGCTTGTTATTGTAGAAATTCGATCTGTACTGTTCTCTTCTAATCTGTAACCAAAAACCGATGCGTGCTCGCGTCTGTCTGAATAAATTAACTATCTTGCATTGTTTATTTCCATTCGGATTTATGAATTGTGTTTTTTTGGATCAAACAATTTTAAACATTGGAAACCTATCAATCAATCGATTAAAAATCAACCATCAACTGGACCTCTAACACACAACCGACACTCAACTATTGTATGTAACCAACTCGACAACAACAAACAACCAATATTGGCGACTATCTGATCTTGCATGAACGTTGAAAAACGAAATCAAAAATGAAAAATCGAGAAATCCCTTTGCCGTACTCTGTAATAATGAAGTGTTTGGTACGACCTCGTTTTCCCTGACGGTTGAAGGCATGGGTCCCTATCCGCTGAGCGATAGCACCAATCTCCTGGGTCCCGGATCGAGCAACTACGGTCCGGGCGGAGTCCTCGGCTCCGGTTCAGGATCCGGAGCGGGTGGTCAGTGCTACACGAACTATGGCACCAACCTGCAAACGCCGCAGGCGGCGAGAAAGTGCCACTACGACGAGGTCGACGACTACAGCTTCCGCCGGCACTCGGCGCACGGAAGGATGTCATGTAGGTTGACCCAGCAGCACCGCTAGCTAGTAAGCCACCACCAGCTAGTCAGCTAGCCAGCTAGTCAGCCACTGAGCCACCAAGCAGCCCACTGAACCACTCTGCCAATCACTGAAAGCATTTACATGAAAATGCCCGAAAACCAAATGCACCCCAGTCAAAACTCTTTGCAATCCATGTACTATATTCAACTAGGCTAAGGCTCAAGCTGGCGCTAAACGAACCACCGACAGTTCGGATCTGATGAACCTAGCTTATATTGTTTTCCTTTCGTTCCTTTATAGTACGCAAGTGAAGGGAAACTACTGATCTTGGGACCAACTATCAAAAAGAATCTAAAAGAAGCGAACCCATTGGCTAAGTAAAGAAAAGTCGCACCACTCTCTGAGTTCCAACACCAGACACCCAAACACACCCAAATCACCCACTCGCTCATAGATCAGAAAAAAAGTGCCAATAATGCGACTAAGAATAAAAACATAGGATTAAAACATAAACACAAATCAAACTCAAATCATTCAAACCTTGTGAAACATTATAAATCATCTGTATTATTTAAAAACCAGCCAATTAAACCACAATCATTCACTTTCATGCTTTCTAATTTTTAACTAGCTTAAAAAAACTAGTTGGCCATAATACAATTAGAGACAGCTGCGGTAAAAGTTTAAGTTTTAATTGATACTTAATTCTACTTTCATGCTTTGAAAAAATAGAATAACTATTTTCTAATTTTAAATTAGCTTAAAATAACTAATTGGCAGTAATTTAATAAAAGAGCTGCGGTGGAAATTAAGGTTTTGATAGACGTCGCCCGAACAGGGATTTAAAAAAGTTTTAAGGCTATTACTACTACCGCAGCTGTCAGGCCAAAAAACCGGGCTTAATGAAAATCATTTGAGTAAATTAATTAATCAATCAATCAGACCATCAATCAAGCAGCCCTTTCGACTCCATCAACGCGCTGTGAAAGTAATGTTTTGTTGGTTTTATGGACTGTGCATGATGTGTTTGCAAGCGATTGCAAGCGTTTTTATCGCCTTTCCCCCAATTGCATGCGTATTATTGGCATGGACTTTTTGCATGCACTGTTTTTAATTAGCAGCAGTAGTGAATGAATCGCAGCTAAAAACGCCCGAAACAGAAAAAACGCCCGACAATAAATTAAATACTAACGATGATGCAGACGAGAAACCAACCATTTGGCACGCCATATTAATTGCTTTTTTCGTACTCCCGACCTTTGACTTTGTTTGTTTCCCGCAATGCCACTCCCTTCGCCTTGGGCAGCTGCATCCGAGCGATTTTTAGAAGGCGGCCGAAGTACACACCAGGGCCGGAGCGCTGCCTCTGCGCCCCATCACCCTCGTCAGCCTCCACCTGTCTGCCCGAGCAGCGGGCCTTGACTGAGGAGCGCCTCGCCTCCTGACTCTGCCAGTGCTCGGTCCACGAGTCGCGCTGAGGAGGTGCCCCCCCAGCAGCAGCCGGTGCACCAGGTGCACCACCAACAGCAGCAGGTGCACCACCAGCAGCAACAGTCCCGCTATGCCACACACGAATACGTACACTGTAGCTATGAGAAGGAAGTCGTATGTGACCAGGCCAATCCCTCGTCAATGCACCAGCCCCAGACACCGCAACCACAGTCGCAGCAGCAGGTAGCACCACCAGTACATCCACCGCCACCGCCATTGCACCACTGCCAGCAGCAACAGCAACAGCCACAGCAACAGCAGCAACGCAAGCACAGCCACAGTCCGCACCACAGTCGCCACACCTCGCCGCACTCGCACCACCATCACTCGCACCACTCGAGTCGCCACAGCCGCAGGAGTCGCCGCCAGGGTAGCGGAAGTCTGCCGGGAGCTCATCAGGCCGGCTCCTCCGGCCACCCCAGCTCGGTGGTGCGTCCCTCGATCTGCACCAGTCGTCGCCACCGCTCCGTCACCGATATACCCACGTCGAACGTGTGCCACGACCCCGCCTGCTCGGACCGGGAGGTGCAGGAGATCCTCGTGAGACGCACCTGCTGCAACACCACCAACACCAACAGCTCCTCGCGCACCGAACTGGCCCAGTGCTTCGCCGAAGATCTCTACGGCTCATCCAGGAGGCCCAGTAGTTGCTGCACCAGCTCCGACTACTGCTACCAGACAGACTCCACCAGTCTCTACGGCTCGCGGTCTTCGCTGAGTCGGAACAACTCGATCAAGTCCGCCTCGGTTCTGGTGCGCAAGCACCACAGGAGTCAGAGAAGTCTGTTGCCAGAACATCGCCACCCCAGCTACACTTCCATATCCCTGAGGGGCCTGAACGCCAGTCGGCCCAACAGTCAGCTGGGCTCCCTGACATCCATTTTCGATCGAGCCAAGAGCATGGCTCCCGAGCAGGGGTCCACCCTGGAGCGTCAGAGCTCAAAGGGCGCCCTGGGCAGCACCGAGCTGCCGGAGTACGCTTGTTCGCCATCGCCCATCCGCTGGAGCTTCCTGGCCGATGGCAGGTCTCCCTCGGAGATGGAGGGAGCTGTGGGTGGAGTGGGTGGTGAGAGGGACAGCGAGGAAGACAAGCTGGATGCCTGGCAGGTGCCCGAACCGGAACCGGAGATGAAGCCCTGCCGGAAGATCACGAGTAACTCCTCCGTCTATGATGAGGGTCCCAGCACCTCGGCGGCGGCGGCCCGGAAGCGGCGAGGCAGCAAGGGAAGTCGCGGCAGCAAGGGCAGCTCCAGCAGCTATCACTGCGAGTTCGAGGAGGAGGCCACCACCACGGTGATGTTCCACCAGGATGCCGGCGAGGCGTACAACAACTGCTGCAGCAACAACTACAACTACATACAGTGCAACAGCTACTTGGACCAGGATCTTCAGATCACCAGCGAGGACATCCATCAGTATCTCTCCAAGGGCGATGCCACGGCCAGTGATATCCTGAACAACTCGAAGAACTATCCCTTTCAGCCCTCGAACGCCTTGGAGTTTCAGTACAAGAACAACTTCCAGCAGGGTCAGAATGCGAATCCGAATAACAATAATACCAACACCACGAACACAGCCTCCAGCGATGCGGCCGAGTGTTTCCAGAGCTATAACAGAGCCAGTTCGAAGGAAACCAACCTGAATCAGAGCTCCACCGAACAGCTCTCGCCCACGAACATCAACTTGTCGACGAGCTCGAACAATATCAACATAGTGTTCAGCAGCAGTCTGGAGAGGAATGCCAACGAGGTGAAGTTCATCAACAACAGAGGAGGTGGTGCAGGTGGCTCGGAGGTCCAGAGCTGCGAGGTGGGTCACCACGCCGGCTACCTGCCCTACACCTATCCCAGCTACGATTACACGAACATGTCGGGGAACTCGCACTTTGAGAAGCCCATTGGGATAGACGAGTTGCCCAAGGAGTTTGCTGGCCTGGACGGTGCTCCTTCCACCACCAGTGAGCACTCCTCGTCCCTGCCATCGCCGCAGCCACTGACGCACCACCAGCAGCTGCACCACTTCGAGTCCTTCGACGCCGCCTCCGAGCACAATCTGCTGGCTGCCCAACCCCTTTCCCCGGGCTCACCGGGCGGCTCCGTGAACCCCGCTGGGGACGACTTTGTCCAGATGCATCACTACCATCACGCCAACTCACCGCACTCACAATCGCACCACAGCCACGCCCACACCCACGCCCACCATGCGCACCACCACCTGCTCAACCACCACCCCGCCGCCGCTTATGACCTTGCCGACGAGCAGTTCCGGTTGGGCTCGGCCTTGAAGCGAGTGCGCAAGCGAGCACGCAAGTACACCGACTTTCTGCGCAAAAAGTGAGTGCCTCGGACTCACTGCATCCTCCCGTAGATTCACCCTACTTCGGCCGCAAATATCTGGTGGTCTCGAAGCGACGATCGCAGAGCCTGGACGAAGACTAGTCACGTTCGTGTGGCGACTGGACAAGCAATTACTGAAGAATTCGCGGTGCTGGACAGCCGATCGAGAACCGTACTTACATTTACTTACAATTTTTACACTGCCAAAAAATTAAGAGAATTAAAGTTAATTTTGTGCTAAGCCAAAACTCTGTTTGAAGCGAGGATCAGAAGAAAGTACACACTTGCACTACGGGAAGGGTGGATTTTGAGGGTAGAAAATAAGATCAGAGGAGATTCTAAAAAGGTTCTTTGAAAGTGATGTGAGATTTCAAGGTTACCCATAAGGTTTCAAGGAACTGTTTTGTAGAACTTGTCAAGTCATCACTTAGCACCCCCAGAAAAACACCCTCCCTAATGCACAAGTCACACACACGAATCACATCAGCTGCAAACACCAGAGGAAGACGAACAACGACTATTTTAAATAAAAGAAAGAATTACTTAAGCTAACAGTGCGTATACATAATAAATACAAGCGATAGGTGAGCGGAGAGAGCATTTGTATATTCAACTTACACATTAAGCGAAGGTTTTGAATTTGCATATTTAAATGGACTAAACACTAAGCACAAATACATAGTTAAGAGCCAAGGCAAATGGAAATAACAATGCACACACCTACTCAAGCCTAGATGATAGACAACCAATCTAACATACCAGTTAAAGCTAGCTATAAGGATGCTAAAAGGATCGGAGGATCGCACGGAGGCGGTCGGAGCAGCGCCACAAGATTTAGAGTTTCAGCAACCGCAACTGCAAACGCAACTGCAACTAAGTAATAATATTAACCATTAATTAACGAACAACAAACAGCAAGACGACAGAAACAACAACAGCAACTGTAGTTTGGCACTCTAAGGGCAACAAGTTTAATGTTTAAATATTAGAGAAAAAGAAGAGTTAAGATTACACAGCAAAGGGAGAGTTTTGTTAGCATTTATTTGATATGCGCATTTTTTCAGGGACTGCTTGCGATTTTTGTAATAAAGCAATAAGCCGTTTTGCTCAAGGATTGAACACGTTTCCGTTTTTATCCAATGAAAGCCCCACAATCGTTTCGATTTCCCCGCGACTCGTTTCAAGTGTACTATCCCCAACAACTGTCTTCCAACTATACTTTCTAGTCGTATCTCTCTGCCTCAGTTGCTTTCGAAAACTCAAATAACTAAGCACTCCAACTTCATTTAATGGCCGTTGAATCAGACGTACCTTGCGTGAGAACAAACCGAAAAATTGTAAATAACTGCTGTTGATTAATTAATAACCTAATTTACGAGCAACTAACTAAATGAACTTCATTTGTAGTCATTAGCCGAGGCGAATCATTATGAATTAGTGAACCGAAAATAATAAATATAAATGCACTGCCAAAAACAAAGGTTTTAAATAAATGAACAACAAGAACAAGATCCAATTGGAGACTCATAAAATATATAGAGGGAACACAAAAGGATCAAGTTCGCAAAACCAAATCGAAAATGAAAACTGCTGTAAATATAAGAATGAATACATATAGAGAAATCATAGACATTTTTTAAAGGCACATTAATTAACGAGGAGCATGCAATTTGCAGATTTTTTACATTATTTTAATGAACTAAGCAAAACAATAATGAGTTAAACGGAATTACAAAACAAAAATAAAAGGAAAAAATTAAAAAGCCACGCGGCCGAACGATTTTGTAACAAAATCAAAAGACAGAATGTTAACATTGCGTAAAGTTAAATCGAGTATAAACATAAAAACAAACAAAAAACAGGCACCACAAAAAGGCGAAAAATGTAAAAAAAACGGACTGGTCATGAGTTGTGTGCACTATTCGAACTGTAAATAACAGATCAGAAACCGTAAAAATTAGCCTAAAAATTTCCCAAAAACGCGAGTCATGTAAATCACAAGGGGTTTGAAAGCACTCATTAAGATGCCTAAGAGTATGCAGTAACAAATCGAAGGTTTTTCTGGTAGAGTATATTTCAATGCATACTTTTAGACACCTTCATAAACGATTTTAGAACTCTTGCCATTTCTGTGGCACATTATCCAGCAATAGGAAACGACTATGAGAAAAAAAACCGAGGCAAATCCTTTTAAAGTTCACGTAGCAAAGACACAAACTTACCAGTTTAAACCTAAGACCCCCAAATCGATGAGATTTCGTGGGCCACGATAATCACAAGCCACAAAAAACCAAAGCCAGCTGCAAGAATTAGTGGGATGCCGTTTGAAATATATAGCTGAATTAACACAATTAACAATGGCATTAAACCCTAGCGATTTTTTTTACCTGTTTGTACTTCAGTTTGTGTTTCGGATATGTTCTAGCATTTGTCGTAGCCACATATAGTTGTGTACATAACTAGTTAAAATTGTGCATACAGAATGGTTATCTTAAGTATATAAATACACGCAAAGGTGAATACTAGACAGACCCCCGAATAATCACACTCAAAACAAAACTGGTACAGACTTGACAGACAAATTCATATTCTGATACACTGAGAATAATCGGAGGAGGGAATAACGCGGAATAATAACTACATTATTAATATACAACAATAAACTTGAACCTAGGTATATGATTCTGAATTTAAATAATTTTTAGTAAGGCAGAACAAAGAAACAAAAGCAAAAACGGAAACTCTAAACACTTGAATGAAATTAAAAGACAACTTATTAAAAATACAAATAAAAATTGATGAATTAAGTAAAGTAAATTGCTCAATTTAGCAGAGAGTATAAATAAAGAATTATACGTTAAGTAATAATTTCAAATTACGAACTTGACTTATTTTTGGGAGTGGGAAAAAGGGACATGGAAGTCCGATGGGTTCAAATCGACGTTCCTTTTGAGTATCGTATCGTATTATTATTATCGTATTCCTTCTAGATTATTCTAGTACATTCTCTCTCTTAAGACTCGTGGGTTGATGCGGAACGCCGTCAGTGATCCTGAACAGACTGAGTTATTTTCAATAAAGTAAATCTTGTGTACGCACTCAAATATATATATGTATAACGGCGTTGGTGTTTAACTTTTGGGTGTACACTATATCCCTGCACTTTTTTCCTTCGAAAAAACAATTAACTGAGTTATTTTCAATAAAGTAAATCTTGTGTAAGCATTCAAATATATATATATAACGGCGTTGGTGTTTATCTTTTGGGTATATACTATATCCCTGCACTTTTTTCCTTCGAAAAAACAATAATGGCTTCTGCGGCATCTGAACTTAAACATTTGCTAAAAATATTTTGAAAAGTATCTACAGAAAAAGCATAACTTGGCAGCACTGGTCGCGGTACTCATCGATAGGCAGGATTGTTGTGCGCATGTCAAGGATGTGTCAACTTGAAGTGACAGTCAAGTGTATGTACCCGTACCTTCGATGGGGTGTGTAAACGAATTGGCTAAAAAATGGAATTCCTAGGAGTTTAAAATGTTGACCGCCCTGCGTCGGAAAATTCGGTTTGGAATGCAGCGCACGGTTTTAATTGCGGTCCTGCTGGCGGTGGGCATTTTTAGCTACGCCTTCCTCAATCTCAAGTTCTGCTTCAAATTGATGTCCCACCGGAGCCTCAACTTAATGGTAAAGTGAAAGCAACTGTTTCCGCAGCTTAAAAACTAATTCTTTTAACAATAGTGCCAGAAGTTTGAAAAGCATGAGTACAGCGGCTCCTTGTGTGAAGAGCTTTGTGGTTCCCAATCTTCCTTCGACAACTTCCAGTGTCCCTTAAATGATATGAAAACTATACTCTTTACGGCCGAGAAGAACGGAGATACGTATGCGGTCAAGGTAGGTCGGGTTTTACGGGTTCCCGGCTTTGGTTGTCATGACTACGATATTCTATTGCCTTTTATAGCTGGCCCGGCACAATGATGACGAACTGAGCTGGACGAACAACAAGGGAGAGTCCATATATCCCAAGATAGAGGAATTCCATGAGATCGTAAAATTGCACATCATACTTTCTTATAATGTCACGCTGGATGATAATATGGTAGGGCTCGCTATACACGCTTGAAATATTAAAACAAAGTATAGAAACGCAAATAATCAGTTTAGTCCAAAAGTCCTAATATTATTCAACAAAACTCGTTGTCACTTATGATTAGAGCATACTTTAGGGCACCTTTTAAAGTGGTTTCAAGCCTCTCGAGATTTCTTTGGTAGAACCTGTGATAAAAGAACAATTCGATTAATTATTGCAATTCGAATGCGTTTTTTAACTCACCTTTAGATCCGGGCATTGGTCAACCAGGAAATAGCGGATGATAACTCACAGCAGATGGTCAGTTTCTGGAGGCTGTTCAAGGACAACAACTACATGATGGGCAAGCTCTTCGACGAGGAGTCCATATTCCCGGCTGTTCTGGGTTCCTGTGGGCCATACTATGCCACAGAGGGACTGCAGATCGTGCAGTCCAACCCCAGCATAATGCAGTATCTGTGGGTGATGTGCCCTTCCTTGAACTAAGCCCATTACTTACAAGCTTACTTTTAACACCCTTTCAGCGCCTCGAATCGCTTGCAGCGCCTGAAGCACGCCCTCAATATTATGGAATACATTTTCCGGCTGGATGAAATGAAGCCGGAACCCCTGAAAATGTGCAAGATGCAGGTGAACCGCTTCGGCACGGCCTCCGAAAGAAGGCTAAAGTACCAGAGCGCGGAGCATGTCTACGTGGAGAGCCAACTGGACAAGCGATTGTCCAGGGGCGTCAAGTGCCACGCCCACCAGGACTGCCACTTCCACTCCTGCCGAGGGATGTGCGACGAGGAGAAGCAGTCCTGCACGCACATCCAGCAGAACAACAACTTCCAGATATTCTGCGAGCACATCCTCCTGGGCGGTGGGACCTTCCAGCCCGGCCTGCTCAGTGGAGTGCGCCTCTCGAAGGCGCTCCAAAAGCTGGTCAAGATGTGCGTCCAGCCGCCCAAGGAGCATCAAGTGCCAGGACGCCAGTGGGCGCCCAACATGCAGCTCGCCCTGCGGCTCTACAACGAGCTGAAGCAACTGCACCAGGCTGCGGCTGCGTCCGCAGGATCCGAGATTCCCGACGAGGGGCAGGCACGTCGAGGAGTCTGAAAGCACTCGGGTCTCCTGGAATTTTTTAAGTCCGGTAATCGGCAGAAAGTAGATCAATTGGCGCACAGCTGGCTCAACACTGATAGCATTTTTATAACTAGTCTTAATTTATTAAACCCAAATAAATAAGAAATTGCTTTTTATTAACTACAAACCACTAAAGGTCTCTTTGATTCATGTACTTTGCAAAATAATTTGCAGGTTCAACGTTACATAGCACGTACACATTCGATATCACTATTCGCTATCAATTACATTTAACCTGATTGTTTATTCTTTTCCTCACTGCTGTAAAAATGCCTTTTTTATTATAATTTTGTTACGTGACCAATTTATATTGATTTATTATAAAAATGTAATTACAGTTTGGGTACAATAAATTGAAAAAGTGATTTTATAACTGTTTTGGGCCTATATTTCGCTGTCGGCTTGACATATGAAATGGTTTTTTCCCTCACAGCTGACACGACTCATTATTACGTCCCTTACTTTAAGGCACTTTCCCGTTTCACAATTATTTTTCAAGGTCCAATGGTCTAATTGCTTATCAAGTTTCAATGTTTTTGCTTTCTTTCCGGAGGCTACTGATACGAAATTACCAATGCTGATGAGATCGTTGATGCCAAGCCAGTATGAAACACCTTCTTCCAGCTGCAATTGGATGGCATATAATTCCTTTTGGTCTTTGATGCCCGCTAAGTATCCACCCATCTGATGACAAGTGCCCGCAGCCTCGTTCCAAGGAAGCGTAAGATTATTTTCAATATAGAAATACCTTGTACCAATTTTATGAAAATTCGGAGGGATGGTTTTCTCATAACTTTTCGAATCACTTTGCTGAGGACTTGGTTCGGTTCCTTCTATTTTAGCCAGGATGGCTTGCAACGTGTTCTTCAGATTCCTCTGATCCTCTTCAATTCCTTGCAATTTGGAATTCATTTCAGGAAGAAGATCAATACTAGGTGGCTGCGTTTTGGAACAGTACTGGTTTCCTTCTAAATTTGCCAAGCATCCACGAGACTCCAGAACAAACACAGCGAACACAGAAAAATATGCCAGCTTGAGCATTTTTGATAATTATATTTGAAAGGAAACCTTGAAAGGTATGTTCTTAAAGATGATCAACCTGTTTTAAAATAATAAAATAATCATTAAATTTACAAAAACGAACCAAAAATTTAAGTACGTACGTGGAAGGAGCAGCTGTGATCGATACACAAAAAAACTGGAGATGGACTGGGTGGTGGAGCTGGTTCTGGAGTCATGCTGGAGTCATGCTCATATCGGAACTTGTAGAAGCCCGCCCAATTCAATTTTAAGAACTCTAAATAAGCCGGCCCCATGTCAAAAAGTATGTCATAATTAAAAAACAATTAACATATGAATAATATAAAAATATTATTTCACTTACTTCCACTAGCCGAAAGATTAAAAACGATTCCGTTGAATATGTTAATTTTATTCAGCTACTTTTGCTTTATTATTATTCACTTTGAAAATTTAAATTCAGATTACATGCTTTGTTGGTTACATACAATTTGCATATTGGTTTCTGGATATATTTATATTATATTTGCAGCCTGCGCCCGGGCCAACTGTTGATCTCGACTGGCCTTTTCCGAGCGTTTTCCGAGGGAAAAGCTGGTGCTTACTTGGCTAAAACACAGATTAACACGATTACTTTATGCTTTTCGCCTTGCACTGGCGTACTTGATGTCGCATTTGCATGTAGTATATTTATATTTAGTCAGAGTAATTAGATAAACTAAACACACACTTTAATTACCACAATTATCTAGAATTTCGACTTGGGGGCTTAAGTACAACAATTAGTTAATCAGTAGGTGCCGTAAGTTAATCGAAAAGAATTCAGTATGTTACATGTTGCGATCGATCGGTTGTGAGTTGAGTAGAGCTCTACGAGTTAAGTGCAAAAATGTAGAAAATGTTGTGGCCATTTGAGTTCCTCTCACTGTGCGTTTGCTTGTCCTATCGATCTTATCGATCCATAGATCCCAAGATCCGATCCAATCTGATCTGACTTTAACATTTAATTACGAATTATGCCGGAGGTTCGTTTCACAATTTTTGTAAAAAAATACATTTCATGTTCGCTTCCTACATTTAGCTATGCTAAATCATTATTGTTATTCTTCGCATTGATATATTCAAACTGCAATCATATTCATTTTCCAGACTGTATCGGGTATCCGTGTGTGGGTGCTTTTCAGAGACAAAATCGATTCGAAAGTATCGTGTGAACAACCGCTTAGTACTTACCCGCTTAGTACTTAGTACAACTCGAGTACTTTGATTGCAAGAGACACATGTATCGGCATCTGTATCTGTATCTGAGTGACTCTGCCTTATCCTCGTATGCTACACTGTACATTATCTTTATCGCCTCCTGCTTAGCAACTAACATAAACACCAAACAGAGAAACATGCTTCGGAAATTGGCTTGGGTATACAGCTTGGATTCGCTTATGTGGTATCTTTAAGGTGTTAGGTGACCATTTTTGGTGACAGCTTTTTCTGCAAGTGTTGTGTCTTTGTTTTGGTGAAAAGAACAACTGAAAAGTGGGCAAGGATGCGAGAAACCAAAAAGAATTACATCTGAGCAGGCATTTGTTTTATTTGGGTCATAAATTATAATTAGAATAATTAAGAACTTATTGTTTCTGGTTTTGATTACGTTTAAAGCTTACATATTTTATTTGTTAAACATAAGGTGCAAATACGCTTTGCATTGCATTCATAAACTAAAGTTAGCCTAAATTATTTCACGATGCCGCACTCGAATGAGTGCCATTTCACAAAACTCTGCTCCAGTGGTCCAAAGCAAATCAAGTTACTTTACGTTTAAACTATTATTAACATTTAGCAGGTAAACTAAAACTATGTACCGAACTAAGGCTAGAATAGTTATACTCTTACTCTGCGTTCAATGCGAATAAAAACACGAAACGAAAATGTAAATTGCTTTTGATTCTGAGTAGTTTTCGACTGCCGATCGTTGAGAAGTCAGATGTGGAACGTAAAACTAACAGCAAAGGAGTCTAATTAAGTTAAAAATGCACACCATGTCAAAGGTAATCTTGAGCATATAATACTTTGCGTTTCATACACACAAATCCGGAAACGGAAGCGAAAACAGAATAGTAAAAAAGAAATGGGGCTCGAACTAGAAACTAAAGGGCAGACTGAACGGAAACGCAGGCGATGACGAATAAATAAATTACAATTACAAGTTACATACAAATTAGGATTGAGTGTTGCGAGTGTATCTGGGTGTGAGCAAAACGATCCGCAAAACAGACGCACGGACGGGAAACCCCTGTGCCCAAAACACATTACAATATCATTTTCTCATACTTTCGTTTGCTGTTCTTGCTTGCTTTCAAGCTTTCAAGCATTCCTGCTTTGTCATTTGGAATTTTTCCTCGGGGGCTTCTACTTGTTTTTGGTTGACAGGGGATTGGAGAGCATGAAGATGAGGTCGTTCTGCTGCTGCAGGATCTTGTTCAGCATGTCTACCCACGCCGCGTAGTTCGAACCCGCCTCGCAGACGATCGTCATCTCGGGGATCTTTGGGTCGGTCGACCGGATTTGAAAGCGGCAGTCGCCCAGTTCCTTCATTTGCATGTGATTGAGCTGGGGAAATCGCGTATTATTAAGTACTCAAAAGCAGAAGTGGAAGTATTCATCTCACCTGTATGTGCGATCGGTACTTAAATATGGGACTGGCATACTGGTTCCTGGTCTTCTCGATATCTGCAAAGATTATGATCTGCTGGAAGAGGAACACCTGCAGCTCGCGCTGCCTCTGGGCCGCGTCCACCAGGCAGTTCATGGGTCCCTGCATCAGCAGGCTGCCCTGGGCGGTGATCTCCCCATCGAAGTCCTGCAGGCTGCGCAGCACCACCATCATGTCGTTGACCGTCTTGACTACCACCTTCATCTGCTGGTAGGCCTCCTGCAGCATGGGCACCTCCTTTTGCAGCCCGGCTGCCTCTGTGGCCTTGATGATCTCCTTGATCAGCAGCTCGTATTTGGTGATTCGCTGCACCGGCTTGATGATTAGGTTGCTCAGCTGGGGATTCGAGGGAGAAGGGAAGATGTTAATAACAGATAATACATCCAATAGCCGCATCCAATTAGGAAGCTCATTGGGCCATGTCGACTTACATCCAGGCGATGTCGCAGCTTCTGGCGTATGCAATCGAAATACTGATAGTGGGCGCTGACTATATACTCAGACAGCGGTTTGTTACTGCAATAAGTGTAGTACAGCGCGAACTTGGTGGCCGACCGCTTAATGAGCGGACCCAGATCCGCAGGGGAATTTTGACAGTTGCGCAGGGCCCTCAAAAAGAAGCTGAAAACAGAACAAAATTTGTTTCATAAGTTCTTGGCTGCACAATCTAGGGTTCTCTGTACTCACTCCTTGTGCCACTCGTAGATGTCCTTGATGTTGTTGAAGACCAACTTCATCTTGCCACCCTTCAAATCCTCGGGCATGGGAATATCACTGTTCGCGTTATTTATCTCTGTCATGTAACTGGACAGATATAGGGGGAAAGAGGTTAGGGGTTTTCAAACAAATTGTGAAACTACATACCCATTGACGACGTCACTGAGGTCCTGCACATAGGTCTCCTCCGTGGACATCAGCTCCGCGAAGACGCATTGCCGCTTCTTCAGAGCAGCTGCTTTGTCCGAGAGAGCAGCGTGGCCCTGTATAGATCATATGTTTGATGGTTTTCCCACAAGACAAACTCCCCTATCATCCACTCACCTCATCATTGTTGTCGTGGGAGCGCCCATGCCCATTGGTGCTGGCGTTCTCCGCTCCTCCACCTCCGTCCACGCGACTGTTGGACTCGTGTTGCTCCTGCAGATGGGAAAATGGGTTTGGGTTAGGTCATGCCTGCACGGCATCCTTCGCCTGAGCACTTACCGTTGTCGTCTTGACAATTTCTTCTATTTCCGATAGTGGATTGCCATCCATTTTGCCGGTGCTGGCCTGCAAAAGTGGAGAAAATGGAAGGGAAACACTTAGTGATGGTCGGGCCAAATGCATAATGAAAAAGTTTGAGCAGCGATTATTGCATTATCCCCTTGTGCAGCAGGCGGCTAATTGAAAAAGTTCCCTTACCACCCGGGCGGCTCTCGATTCAATAACTTTTTAAAGCCAACACAATCTCTGTTGAAACTGGACAAACTTTGGATAAACTATGTATACTGTGCATACGCTGCGTGGCCGCAAATAGAGTTCAGGGAAAACCTCCATCATTTTGTGGCAATTTTCAAAATAAACACATTCTAGACGATTGCATGTTCTGCTCGAATTGAATCACTCGCTTATTTTTGTTTTCCCACTCGCGCACAGGGCCCCCAGAATTAATTTCACTTGCATAAATAACAAACTTAAACACACGCTACCCCAAATGTATAACCAAAATTTGCCTTGGGTTAAACATGGTGAAAAGTTTGCCCAGTCAGCGGAGATAACATTGGGTAACTATTGTGTTTCCAGTGCTCAACTTTCCATTCTATGTACTTGTTTTTTGCGCGATAAGATTAAGAACGGTCAGCTGTTTGGAATTTGTCATCGAAAACGAATTACAACAGCGAATGCGGCTTACAAATAAGCGGAAGAAACAGCTCATGGCACGTGTTGCTTAAAATTCCCAGCGCACAGTGTGGATTTTTATTAATTTTTGTTTTTCGACTACCGTCTATGGGTAACTGTCTTTCGAAATGGTGGCCTTTATAAGGACTTTGCGGCGGCGACGCATTTTGGCAATGCGAAAACCGAGCGAGAATCTCAAAAGGCGACTGAACGCCGAGCGATGAACTGAGCGACTGGCTGACTGGCTGGCCTAATAGTTTCGCCTGTTGCCCAGCATGTTTTACATATGTAGGCACAGCACCACACCACCCCACCCACCACCCACTCACTTGCCCACCCACCCACTTACGCACACACACAGTGGTTCCCCCTGCGACATCAAAAGAAACTCTCAATCAACGCTCCGCCAAGAAATTCGTCGCACTCACTTGAGGAAAAGCGTTGAAATAATTGTGTGGCACACAGTATATCGAGTGAGCGAAAGCTAAACAGAGAGATATAGAGATATAGATAGATAGGTAGGTTGGTAGGTGGGTCGGTCTTCGGGGGGAACTCTCTTTGTGTTTCCCGTGAGTGTGTGTAGATTCGCCCGGCACTGTTGTTGTTATGAATTCTTAAATACATAAATTAATTCGCATTTCGCGGCGAAATGTTCTAGAGGGTGCGACTGATCGAAAAGGAAATACCCCCGTCTATAAAGTCTTACAAAATATTTTAATCGTAAATAACAGATTTTACGGAAACGCTATATTAGCAATTTAATTTCTGATTTGCTGTGAAAGAGTTTTGTTCTTCAAAATTCGTTCATTTTCTGTTAAAATTCATTTTAAATTTTAAAGATTCAATATTTACATATGAACTAAGATAATAACTAATTAAAGTATATATTTAATCTATATTAGAATTCTTAGAATTTATTTTATCTTGCTACTTGCAAAACACAAGCTACCCAAGTGCAAGCTGATTTCAGGGGATTCCTAAGTCTCCAGCTCTCCCACTTTTGTGAAGGAAGTCTGATATCAGCGGACATTAGGTTCTACATTAGAATTTCATCAGCAGTAAAAGCAACAACCAAAGGGAAATAAAAGCTCAAGCCAAAGGAACAACAACCCACGCAATGACGTACCCACATTTAAGTGGTGTGACATTTAATTAGCCTGTTTGAAAAGGGGGAGGAAGTCGGCTTGCACCGGCTGATGTCACATATATCCACAGATATATAATGTATATAGGCACACACACATACAGCACTCGCAAAGGGCGCGAAATTCGACAAGGAGAACTATTAAAAATTAATGACAATGCAAATAGGCGAACTAAACAAAGGTGGCACAGGAATAAGGCCAAGACCCGAATGCCAAGTAGGCCAAAAAGTTGGCACAAGCGATATGGGGAAGCCTAACTGGGTTAAGAAGTTCGCACCCAGGCGATACAAAAAATAAAGAATTTGTAAACAGGAAAGAATACAATTATATGTTGACGCATCAAGGCGAAACAATTTGTTCGAGGCAGCCCAAAATGTACATGGCTGCACGGAAAAAATCATTGTATCAAATAGTTTATGTGAACTCTTTTTCTAGAGAACTTGGCATTATATTCTCAAATTGATATAGTTGTTTGATCAAAGATTACATAGAAATAGTAAGATATATCATCATATCACATGAAATACAGTTTATGAAATATAGTTTATATAACGAGCATACGTCTAAGAAAACCCTGATAAAAATTGTATTTGTTAGAATCGTTACTTGATCTAAGAATAAATAAATATCATCATATTGATTATAGCAAGTAAAATATATTTCTGTGTAGCGAATTCAGCTAATAAGCCATCATCATCATCAGAAAAATAGAAAACTCGGAGCAGAACAGAACAGAACAGACCAGACCAGACGACATTCAATTTATTGACGGACAAAGTGGCTATAGAGAAGGCGACGTTCTGGCGACGGACACATCGGGATGGAAAAACTCGAAATGGATGCGAGGCAGCCGGATGGGGAAGCTCTCCAAACAGAAACGAATCATTAATCAAGTTGAAGGAGAGAGTCAAAGACAAACTTTAAAATCCCCGAAGTGCATGGTGACATAAAAATCTGACACTAAAAATATGTAGCACTTAAGGGATTACGAAAGTGTCAATAAGTGTGGTGAGGGATTTGTTTTCAGAAATTTTGAATTTTTCGAGGTTTCCCTAATTAATCATTTTCTAGAAAAGGTAAAGCAGCAAGAAGTGTGTTGAAATAAAATAAAAACGTATTTAAAGCACATTAATTATTTATCATCAGCATTTATAAAACTAATTGCAACAGATGGTCAGGAATCCATATAGTTTAATAAAATATGAATACACCTTTGATGGAAGCGCAATTATGTCTGCATTTTTAACAATAAGTAGAGGTAAAAGGAGAACTCAAATGAAAATGGCTTCTGACATACTTTCTCTTTTCTCTTTAATTAAAATGCGAAAAAGGAAAAATAGGAGAATGAACAAACTCGGTTGGATTGGATCTATCCAGTGGGAAGTAATACCTTATAACTAGGGGATTGGCTTTAGTTTTAAGTAAAGATAAGGTAATATCTATCAAAAACCTACACTAAATTACACAAAAAGTCAAAACTGGCTGGCTTTTAATAAGTTTTCCCCATGTGTTTGATTAACCCTTATTTATTGAAGCGTATAGTATACTCCTTCAATTGGCTTAGTTCCACAAATGCAAAGACAGTGCATCGAATTCTGCATAATTTAAGGCCACACTCACAGCCATGAATCAGCCAGCCAGACTCATTGACTGTATCCTTTCCCTGTAATTTGCTCTCAAAAGTGGCAGTCAAGTGGAAGACCCGCCCCCACGCACGATTCACGTTCAACCGACAAGTCTGTGGGCTAATTTGACTGTCGAAATTTATGCGTCGTATCTGCGAGTTCGAGTATCTTACCGCTTTGTATCTCTATCTGTATCTGTGGTGAGGTGGTCTATTACTCTCCTGCTCCGAGTGTAAACAAAATAAAGTGGCGCATTTATGGCAAAGGTGGCTGCCCCGGAGAGTCAAAATGGAAATCCGGCGCGGCAAGCGGAGGAGGATTCCCAGTCCCCCAGAGAACCAGGAGAATGTGTGTGCGCCTCCTATTCGGTCTAATTGAGCAAAAACCGTGCTCGGATTGCCGATGACGTCGATGGCGGAGAAACGAACGGGCCAAAGTCACAATAAACCGCTTTGATTTGTGTGGGAAACACATATTAGAGGGGCTGCGTGCTAAGCAAACAAACTTCGAGCCCCGAATGGGCGGCTGATTGGACGAGAGGCGCTGGGAATATCACCCACGTTAGGGTGGGTCACTGTTTCAGATGGATTGGTTGGGAAATTCTGTCAGCTCGATACAAATATAATTTTGTGTATATCTAAACATTAGCAACATTATAAACTACTAACAAACAAACAACAGCCCCGAATGGGCGCCTGATTAGTCGCGAGGCGCTGGGAATGTCTCGTTAGGGTGACCCGCTTTAAATGAATTAGTTAAAAAATCTGTCAGCTTGAAAATATTTTAATTTTTTGTATATATATAATTGGAAACTACGCACAACAAAAAAAAAATAAAGAAGTTAAAATTATTATATTTCAGCTGGGTCATAATTAACACTGCATTTAAACAGTATAGATCATATTACCTGATTCTTCCCTCACACAACATAACTTTCCTATACGGTAGTTAACAATTGAATAGTCTTTTCCTTCCTTTACTAATTACAAACACTTTCCACTATCTAGAACATATTTTCTACTGCCTGGTTTTTGAAATTTCCCCGTAACCGTGACCAGATGATTGCTAACCAAAATCCGTGTGATAAATCGAATAACTATTATGAATCACATGGGGTTTATATAAGGTGTAGGAGCAGATTGCTCAACCACTCCAGCTGCTATTTCACCTTGCAGCTCCTGTGGGAAATCTGAAGAAATCCGTGCCGGAGCTGGGTACTCACCATGTTGCCAGAGCTCTCCTTGGCGTCCTTGGCGAAGGTGGGCGGTCCGTTGGCAATCAGGTGCGGCTCCTGGATGGGCTTCATGGGCGGCGGCAGCTCCAGGCCGGCCTCCTCGTCCGGCTCGTAGTCCCCGCCCGCTCCCGGATGCTGGGCGGTGGAGCTGGGGAACTGCGGGGATGGCACCACGGTGGCGGGACTGCCACCTGGCTGCTGGCTCTGCTGCTCGGCCAGCTCCTCGGCGTGCTTCTGGGGTGTCTAGATATACGTGGAAGCATGGAAAAACGTCGAGTGATATAAATAAACTCTCGGTAAATGGAAACACTCACTCTCAGGTTTTTCTCCGAGGGCTTCTTCACCAGCGGTTTGCTGTTTGGCGGCTTGTCCGCTCCCTTGCGATTTATCAGCGGCAGCCAGTTGCGCCTGCAAGACACGGAATACAAAACAATTCGACAGTTAGATGACAGTTTGTATACTGGGGCAGAACTTTAGTTGGACGATGGCCTACAGGAACTTGCGAATCGACGTTGTGGTTTGCACGAGTTCCTCCATCTCTCATGACGTGCCAAATAAAAAGTGAAATAAATAAAACAAAGAGATGCTTGATGGCTGTCCAGCTGCGTGGCTAACATCAGACTGTCGCCAGGCATCGACTGCCAACTTGGCCAAAAGCCGCCTGCTGTTCGCTTGTCGCCGCCCGCACAGTGGGCACAATTCGTTTTCCCATAACCATTTGCCTCTCTAAGGGCTCCCCCGCACAATTGGTTTTATGATTCCACAATTTAAAGGCCAAATTTGCGTTTTCATCAGTCTCACTTTTTATGCTTCAAGTTTTTACCGCATTGACCGTAAAAGAATATATTTCTTTCAGCGCTCCCTTGATTAATTTGCAGTCCGGGGCAAAGTTTATGGGTCAAGTTTCGACTTTTCAGTGGGCCGAGTCATTAATCAGCCACAGTGGAGACTGTCAGAAGGGGACTTAGGTTTCAACAGCTCATTTGGGCGGGCCAAACTGGGTTGGGAACATCCTGTGGTCAGTGGAAGTGCAGCAGAGAAAACCGCAAAGCCGCAAACTAAGCTCTGTTTAAACATGCCATTTATAAAATATTAATAAAGCTTAATTAACGGGCAAACTAGTCGCTTTAAGCGCTTTCAAAATCGATATCACTCGAAGAAAACACAAAAAGGGTAGAGGAAAACGGTGGGGGAGGTGGGGATCTCAGGAACCCAGTGGCATGTAACATAATTCGGAGTAAAAATAAACATTGACACAGACGACAAAGAACAGGGACGCGGTTTTCGACTGGTCAAATTGAACGAGATACCAGTTCGGTTCCAGGAATTGTATTTAATTTATTATGCGCCTGTTGTCCGCATTGAAAATTCATTCGGCTGATGTAATGTTTTAGGCAAATAGCCAAAGTGTCTCCTGCCATGAGCAAAGTACTCGATGTTTGCTTGGGTGTGTATTAATGGGGCCGCCGCAAAGTATGCAACAAAGCCAGCCGGCAAATTTGCAGTTTCCGTCTCCTGCTGCTCGACAGCAAATTGTGCACGGCAAAAATATGTCTGAATATTCTTGCTAAGTGCTATGAAAGGGAATAAAACAAAACAAATATTTTGATGGTCAGTTTGACTAAAAGCCATTTGAAGGCATTCCAGATATGCTTAAAGGGTCTTAAAGTTAGGTTTACTTCAGCAAAATGTTCTTGAAAATTTATATTTATATTTAACAGTAGGAACGCTGTGGAACGTAGGCATTTTGAGGTAGGGGTGACAGCTCACCACAATAAAAAAAAGTATTGATTAGCAACAGTATTGCCTAAGAAATTAAAAAATACTTGTTTATAAGTTAGGTCATGATTAATGAGAGAGGATAAGAAGAAAAACATTTTTAAAAAATTAATAATTTTATAAAACAAACTGCAGAAGACTCATAACAAATCTTTTAAAAAAACGTTTGATGCTTACATTTATAAATTATTATACATATTTACTTAAAATGTAATCCATTAGCTTCTTATTTGAGCATTTCCCTAAACAAACCCCTGAACATATACCCGTGTACTTCCCTGAATTGTGAAATACTTTTGCAGTGCCTTCGAGTATGGGTGAAATACAAATACCACTTAGTTCATTGGACTTGGCAGCACGCGCTGCTGAGCAGGATCCTGCTTTTACCCCCGACAGTCCCCGATCCTTTGCATATATCCTGGACAAACACACGCGCATATTGACACAGTGCTTGAGACAAAGAGTCCTGAGCAAAGTGACAGCTGGGAAGTTCGAGGGGAATGCAGGATAGTGGGTGACCCGGACAATAATCTATATTCATGTTCGGCGGGAATGTGGGGAGGAGAAACTACCATCACTTAATGCTCACTCGGGTGAGCCAGCAGCAAACAAAGTGCCCAATTAGAGGGCAAATATTGAAAGTGTTGTTGTGTAATTTCCACAGAGAAACAAAAATGAAAGGAAAAATAGTTCCCAGGAGAACCTTGCCATTGTTTCTTCCCCTCCATAAGACTGCTCAAAATGGAAGAGAGCTATTCAAAATAAAGTTACGAATGAAAACGCAATTATAAGATATCGCTGGCGAGTAATACCGCATAGAGCGGTTACGAGATATCAAAACAAATCAAAAACCAATCGGCACCCCTTTTCACTTCTTTTGTTGCGGGTCCCACGAGGCGTATGATTAATACGCATGGTCTTTATCGAAGTTCTTTCCTCAGGCACTTATCTCTGTCGTATTCACAGCTCATGACGAAGTCCAATGCTGACTAAGAAAGGACAGAGACTGTGGTATCGTGTTATAAAGGGTTCCATTTCAACAGAACTTTCCTTTCCAAGCCAGATAGAAATAAACTTCAATCGGTTGCAAAGCTTTGCACAACAGGTTTCGATCGCAGATGTATTGGATAATTGTGCACTTATCGTAAATGCCGGTGGGAAAAACGAAACCGGTTGCCAGACCTTAGAATATTTATGGGTATTACCTATTTTTTTCGGTGATTAAAATGTTGGACTGCCCGAAAACAGAGCAGTCTGCCTGTTCTTCAAAGAAACAAACAAACAATATTCAGAAAGCGTTTTGAGCTGTGGAGGACAAATAAATGAGTAAATTTATCTCGCCCAAAAACTAAATGGAGCTCAATTGCCGCTGGACAAACAACAATCAACGTGTCTATCTTACGACCATCGTACGTGCCGGATTTGTAACTGCAGCTGCATAATGAGCAATGGTCTCCATTACACGTTGGTGTCGATAAATCAAACCAACTTCTGAATCTCAGTCATGACAGAGCAAACAAAACTTGAGGAAAGGAAAGCAAAATTAGAGAAGAAGCTCATAAACCTTTCAATGCTCTAACAGAACTACTCAGAACTTTGAGCATAATAAAAATAAACAATTGAATTGAGGTGCATTTAAATAAACAAACAACTTTGATAGCCAATAACTGTCGGAAACAATTGGAATACCTTGTTAACCTCCAAAAGAAAAATATTTATTTGCTTTAATGATTTAAAAGCCACTTTAAACTCATAAACATTGAGTTAAATTGGCCATTTGCCATTAGCTTGCAGTTAAGAAATCGTAAACACACGAGTCTAAACCTACTTTTCATGCTAACAGTTGAGCTTGGCAATCGCTATACCCTCTACTGAGGGTATATAGCAAAAACAAAAACGGAATTAAGGCTGATTTAAGTTGGGCAATTGAGAAGCTGATGAGCCGCACAAAAACATGAGCCACATGATATCCAAGGAGCTTGTTATTGCAATTGAGCCGAGGGCGACTAATTGAACGTAAGGCTAGACTTCTTTGTTTTATTAAGATATTCGGCTTTTTAGGGAAATTCACCGAGTCTTGGATTTCCATTTCAAATGGACCTTGAGCCTAAGCAATATGCTATTTTTCAAGTGACACATTTACTGAATTAAACAAGATGTTTTATAACATTTGAGGGATTTGGAACACATCATTTCATGTTAATATTTTACCGGTTTCTGATTTCCTTCAAGAAGGAGTAGCGTCGCTCGGAGGCTTTTTGCTTGCCCTGGGCACTATCACTATTATCACAGCAGACGCAGGTGAATCCCGTGGGTTTTCCGCCCAGAGATTGCTGGTGATGCAAAGCCGGGGAGGATTCGCTTCCGCTATCGGTGACCCTCAGTGAAATGGACTTCAGCAACTTGCGCATCGATTTGGGTCGGGAATGAGTGGGCGCCGAACTGCGTTTCATTTCTAGCGTATTGTACTTGGGCTGCGAATTAGGATTCGAAGTCACATTGTTATTATCGCAAAAGCCGGCGGCGGTTGTTCCTGGTTCGGCGGTGGCGTTTTCATATTGGAAACCGTTTTCGGCCATCTTATCTAACTGCCTCCAGTGGCCGTAATCACTGCTGTTGTTGTTGCACATGCCAAGATAAGCGATCCGCGGAGGTGAGCACTTCAAACACTGGCGACAATTGTTTAACCCGCTAAGAACCGGCACCGCAAATCTAGAGACCTTTCCAGTAGTGCGTCTAATCATAAACTGAGCCGAAAGTTCCTATGCGAGCGACAAAGAAAAGGTTCTCCCATGGGGCTTTCGATTTCTGGAGAAAACGGCAACGCAAACTCGCACACCCACGAAAACAAACTCAGACTCGGGAAGGGAACAAATGGTGAGAAGTAATGGGAGAGTACACTTCAAAAATTGCATTAGAGGTTTTGTTCAATTTAAAGATGTCCATAAGTTTTTGTAATACTTTTCATTTACATATTTTGTCCTATATAGGATTAAGAAACTCACTGAGATATGATATTTTAAAAGTTAAAATACCCCCAATTCACGAAAAATACTAAAACTTTACTGGTTTATGATCTGCCTGCATTCCTTACTCTTAAGCGAAACTTTTATGTACCATTTGTGTATCTATAATCTGATTTTTGTATTGCTCTATCTATATTTCTTCAAGTGTATTAAACTCGAATTCAAAGAGCGAAAAACAAAAGTGAAAACAATAACAACGAGCAACAACTGGGAGCAGCCAAGCGTTTTCTTGGGATTATTGTTGCTATCGAGCTTTTTTCGCTCACAGCTGAAATTCTCACAAGAGCTGTTCATATTGTTGTGGCTGTTTGTCACTGTTCGGTGTAAATGGGTTTATATCTTTATGACTTGCGCCTGAGCTCTACGACACGCGATTAATAACACCAGCGGAAAAAAGTTGGTATACCTTTTCTTGGTTGGTGTACCTTTTTTCCCTAATTACCGACCTAAGAAAAATATATTTTAACTTATGCTATAATTACAAATAATAGTAGAGCTAAGTACGGAGCAATGAAAGAATGTTATTTTTACAAAATAATATGAGCTTTTTAAAATTTGTTCTCATCGACATATTCAAGATAGTATGGAAATTCCCATTTACGTATATTTCGACTCCATCCTCCATTTATCTCCATCCTCTTGCGCATGGATTTCCATTCTGTTATCATACCCTTTCATGACTAATTAGATCAGCGTAAAGTAAACCAAAAAAAGAAAATGTTTTTGAACATTGAACAATTTTGAGATATGTTCTGAGGAAACCGACACGATTCCTCTGCATGGTTTGCACCATCGAATTTTTACCCTTTCTGCGGTTTTTTACAAATCTTCATTGCCAGGGCGCATTTTAAATGGCAATATAGAGAGACAGACACCAATGCTGTCAGTTATCTGGTTGTCCAAATGACGAATGCCCACTGTGGTTGATTAATATTATAAAAACGATTTATGAATTTGTTTTTGGCTTATAACCAAATGGTCAGACAATAAAGATAACACCCAGTGCACAATGTTCCAGCTTTCTGAAGAGATAGAACTATTTAAAACAAATTATCTTAATTGTTATTTATTAGGTGGAGCTATAAATGGAATTCAACGCAATTCAAACCAAAAATAATAAACAAAATACTCTCATGAGGTTTAAAAACTGTTCATGAAATGTCTTGAAATAAATAATAAAATAATTTCTTATATTTAAGCAACTTTTTTTTGCACAAACAACGATATCTTAAAACTTAAAAGGCAATTGTTGTTTTTTCTTTAATCTCTAGGGATGCCTTGGAACCGCAGAGCATAATTGTTTTCGAGATAAAACCGAACCTACGTCAAACGCCCAAATCTGGTAATAGTTTAAAAAATAATGACTTTCTAGGGGTTTTCAAATAGTTCCATTCTAATAATGACTAAATTATTTACAACACTTCTAGATGATGCGTTTTATTACTCACCCGCTAAAACCGCGGCGTTTGGTGGACGATGAGAGGGCATCCGCCTTGCTGCGATTGCCTGTAGAAAACAAAATAAAAATAATTTAAAAAGGGAATCACACATATATATAAAATCGAGTGACTTACCCTGATCCTGCATATCGGATTTCTGCGAACCCGCTGCTCCGGCTGCATTCGCTCCGGATCCGGAACCGTGTTTGTGCGAGCCCGGCGGCGGTTTGAGCACTGAGACAGGGACGAGTCCTTCCTGCACGGCGGCATCCTCGTGCTGGGGATTCAGGCGCACCAGGCAGAAGTCCGGCTCGCCGGCGGTGGGCGGCTCGACAATCTCCACCTGCTGTCCCTTGCTAACGCTCAGCTCGTTGGTGCCCGAGCTGGCGATGTAGTCCGCCACCACCCAGGTGGCCTCCTGGTTGCCCAGCTGGAAGGATAAGAGGGAGGACAGGGGTGAGTATCGGATATCGGGTGACGCTTTTAGTTCTCGGCAGTTAACCCTTTTGGGCCAAGTAATACATGTCAAAGGGTTCATAATGGACTTCTAATAAGGAAGCACTCAACTAAACTAAATTGGCAATGTTATTTAAAAACCATATAAAATATTTATAATATATATTTATAAACCTATAGTGATAGTTTTATAATGTGAGGTCGACCAAGGAATTTATTTTAAGGCGTTAATCCCTTTCTAAAATAATTCATTTTATTCATCAACGTATGATGAATTTATAACATATATTATTGTTCAGATAATAAGCCTTATAATTTCAACATTCAACATGTGCGAGGCAGTTTATCAAGACTTTTGTTTTAAATATTTGTAGCGTAGAAAACAAGCTTTATTATTCCAACACAAAATAAATGTACGATGCATTTTATCCAGTATTTTGAAGTCAGTCAGTAAGTTAAGTTCAGCTAGTAGTAGGCAAAACATACAATGACCATAATCATGCTAATGATTAAACGAGACTTTATGAGCCACAAAAGAGGAAAGCCCGTTGTGCCAAAGGCGCCTTCAGAGGGTTAAGAGGCTCGGGTCGAGGTCGAGGTGGAGAATGAGGATGAGGCGTCAGAACCTTATTGATTGACCGCCAGAACAAAGGCCGAGGACTCTGAGGGCTTCAAGGATCATCGGCAAAGCGAACGAACTAATTAGAAAGCCATTCGAGCCCAGCACACGTCCATTGTGCCCCGGAAAACACAAGGAGCACAAGGAACCGGAAGGAGGAGCACTTCCGTCAGTTTTGATTGGCGGCAGGCCACCAGAACAACCCACCTAATCAGCCCGGAACAGAATCCCCAGCTTTAACCCTTCCACCCGGAAACCCGTGTGGCTGTGTGCATTCAAAATTTACAAGTTTATTAATTCACATGCGGTCTGGCCAAGGGTGTCGATGTGTGGGCGTCTATCGGGTCTTTAAGTCCCAACAAGGAGGATGGCTCCATAGGAAAATTGTGGTTAATCGCCAATCGATGCCATTGGATTCCTCAGAGGATTGGCAAGTGCACAGAGAGAAATAAAAAATGTAATGGAATAAACCGAAAATTAACATAAGTATTACGAGTAAAATATATTATCATTATCTTTAAAAATAAAATAACCAATAAATTGATTATTTTTTGAGAGATATAAGGGTATGAGTTTGGTAAAGAGCTCAAAAAATAGTTTCCATTTTAGAATTAAACTTTAAGACAATTAAAAGACTGGAAGTGCTGTGCACGTAAGGCTGAAATATTTGAGCGGTATATGAAATTCCCCAAGCGTTGAGGGATCATATTTATTTCACATACAATATTTATGTGGGAGGCGCCATTACCTGACTGAGGGAGCAGGCTGCCGGGAAACACCTGACAGGTGGGTCTGGGGCATGGGCCAAATGGCGAAATGATGTCGCCGAGGCAAGTGGCGGGTGACGAGGGGGCGCTGGGTGTGGAAAATGGGAAATGGCAAATAGGGGGAGGGCTGGGGGAGGGGGAGGGGGCTGGCGCTCATAAGCGCAATTAAATCAACTTCATCAGCGGACAGGAGCAAGAGCAGCGGCAGAGAGCTTAGTTTATTATGCTCGCCTCGCTGCCTTTAGCCTCTGTGTGTGTGTGTGTGTGAGGAAAGAGCTGTTCATTTTATACACTGGAAGAAATCATTGTTACAAATATCATCATTCATCTTAGAAATCATTAATCCGCACCATATACATTTTATTGAATCAAGTGAAATGTAATAAATTAAAAAAATGATTAATAGTAAACTATAAAAAACCTTTTTTTGGAGGACCGAAAAACGTTTAACTTATAAACCTTAAATCACAAACCGAAATTAGGGAATAATTCGAAGATGTGTACACTAAGAATGGATTTTTCAATACATGAGCTAAGTTCGTCACAATTCTGGTATACTGGTAACATTACCTACTGAAAGTGACTCCTTTCATTGCCTCGTTGGGTTAAATACAACTAGATTAAAACCAGATGAAGCTACTTTAGTACACGGAAACTGGTAAAACTATGTTTACTGTGCACTGGCACACACACACAGTGACTCAGTTTCCTTATAGGATCCCCAGCCAGGCGCTGTGTTAATTAAGCAGCACTGACACGGAAACGTGCCGCGCTCCTGTGTGCGAGTATTAGTGCGGGCGGAGTGTATGTATTTGTGCGGTAAGGAGGCGTTTGTATTAGTGTGTATTCGTATGTATGCACGTTTCCGCTTGTAATGCAATTAGTTGAAAAGTTTTCGAGGCAAAGTTGGAAAAAGTTTTTGGACAACAGTTCTCGCAAGACAAGGGGCGTAGCTCCTCGGGGGGGCGTGGCTGGGGGGCCAAATTATTTTTTTATTTTTATTTTTCCGAGGCTCTTAAATTGCCACTCAGCCTCAATGAAAACTGATTAGCGGCCGAAAATAAAGAAAAACAAATCAAATCAGAGGAAAATGGTTTCGAGCTGACTTTAAGTGTGTCGTGTGCTTTTTATGCTGCAGTCAAAAGCTGTGCTGCAAGCGGTGGCGTATACGCAATGTGAGACTCATCACTGCCGTCGTCATCATCATCATCATCAACATTGTGGACTGCAAATTGCAGCAGTCACGCACATTCACTCACACCCACAATCCCACTAATAAGCTGCCATCAGGCAGAATTTTCCCCCTCATTTTCCCAGGTCCTGAGAAAGGGGGGGGAAAGTGAAAGCAGCTGCCAGGAATCAGGAAGACCAACTGAACTAGAGAAGCTCTTTAATGCTACCATTTTAAACCGACTAAGCGCAGCTCTATTCCCTCTCAACTTTCACCGAAAGTGAACTCGGCTTTCTCCTACCGAGTTTCCCATTTTATTGTAGCTACAAATTAAGTTCATGCTCGCTTTTGTTTCGCCTTTTGACCGAGTCTTTCATTAAAATAATGAAGGGATGGTTGGTTCAGCCAGAAGGAGGCAAAGGGAAAATCGAGCAAACGGAGAGGAAAATCGCACGAGTTTTTCCAGCTGCAAAATGCAATCAGCGCTGCCTTGTTGGGTTTCGTCTTTGCCGCCGCCTACGTTTTTGCATAAAAATAATTAACAAGGCTTACAGTTTCCTTTGCGCATTTGCATACTTAATAGCGGATGGCAAGGCCACCAACTAAATTTAGAATTCCCCCTACAGGAAAAAAAGAACTTGAGAACTCAAATGTTAAAGCAATCGTGGACCATAAATTGGCAGTCGCAAACTGGCAAACCTCATCTATTTTCCATAGGCAATAGAAGACTTTCAAGGCGGATTTGCATAGTTGAAAAGGGGAAAGCAAACAAAATGGGAAAACCAAGCCTCGAATGCAGCCCGAATTGAGGGAAACTTTGCAGATTCAAGTCCTGGGAGAAAGTCCAAGGACGAATTTCGCTGACAGCCAGGACATTTTGCAGTCGACACTCGCATTTCGAGGGCAAACTTTCCCGGGGAATTTTCCTGCTCACGCTGCTGATTACATGCTGATAACAATAATAGCTCAGAGTCGGAAAACAGACCCGCAAAAACGGAAAGGCTCAGCCGGAAAATGTGCGCCTTTCTGTTCCTTTCTTCTCTCTGTTGGGCAAATTGTAAAGCGATTTGGCGAAATGTAACGTTATTATTGATGGGCTTCCTCGCTCGTTTTTCCCTGGATTAAGGGCGTTGGGTAGGTTTTCCGACATGTCGGGAACGCAAGCTCATGTCTTCCCCGCCTTTCGAGAGGCATCGTAAAAACGCAATTGCTGCGACGACGACCCAAAAAGCCATCAATTGTTAAGTCATTAAAAAATATGTTTAGGTAACGGCGGGGGCTCGAAGGAAAGGCTCATAAAAGCAAACGTCAGGGTTGTCAAGTGAAATTACAAACATCATTTAACTGATTGGAATAATGGGCCAGCAAGCTGTTATCTGCACTGAGAAAATATGGTTCCACAAAGCCGATTAGATTATCAAATTCGGCTGCTTTTTTTTACACTTCTAAAACGGATGCTTAAAAATGTCATAATGTTAATATAATGGACCTAAAATAAAAGCAAACGATTATAACCAATGAGCCACCCAAACCTCGAAAGATTGTATTGTGAATGTGTATCAGCTTCATTTGCTTAAGCCAATCCAATCCAGAAATTCAGTTCGTTAAAAACTCTCGTTTGGAACGGTTGAACACATTAATAATGTTCAAGTCGAGGATATCAATATTCTAGGTATTACTGAGTCTGTACTTGGTTTTTCTGGTCCTCACCTGGACAGGATTGAAGAAAAGGTCAACGCCTTGGCTGACGAATTAAGTAGCATCAAAACGTTCTATACAGTCTTTTTTTCCAAGTGGAATCAATTTTTAAGACATTTATCAAATAAAGCTTTAAACTGAAAAAAAAACAGTAAGATGCTTGCCGCTGGTAGCGGGAGAAGAGAACTTCCCCCCTCGATCCATTCGATTTGAAGTGAGATATTGAGTGGAAGAACGAAATTTTAGACAGATTTTGTATGCCAGTTGTTGCTTTGCTGGAATTTGTTCGCCTAAATGCCCTCATGGGCGCCATAAATCACACAGATATGCCAGCGCACATACAAAAATATGGAAAGGCAGGGACCCTCGGATATATAAGTTAACTAAGTAAGTTAACCGGGCGACGGCAATGACCGATCGTCCGAAAGCTCGCTCCGGCCAAATTGCTGACACAGCGTCTGGCCGGAAGCCCGTGCATAGCCGGCAAGCACTACCCATTGGAGTGGCCGCTATGAGTCCCTTTTTATGTTAGCTTTAAGTTTAGTTCTCATTTTGATTTGAAAGAATAAAGAGCTAACGCTCACGAATTGAAACTCCGGCCATCGCCGTATTTGATTTATTGAAATTACACCCAGTCTGAGTCTCTAGGCCAGCGGGCTAAAAGAGGGCAGTTACCCTCTCAACCTAATCGTCATATATTTACTGTTGATGACGCAGGC